CAATTTTGAACAAATACTTTAAGGTGGACATGTTTACCAGTGACTGTGCTGATCCACTCTCATATATATGTGGAGTGAGGCCTAAAATTAACAATTGTGAACCGTTTTCTGAATCTAATCTTTGAAAGATGGTATTTGAATAAAGATTACGTATTCCTGACTGAAAATCACTTGTTGAATATACTCAAAAAGATTTATTTTCAATGTAATTATTTAAGTTGGTAGTATTGTTAAAATTGAGTTGAACTGATGCTAAAAATTGTGCTGGACCAATGATAAAAGACTTACAAAGAATACTTAAAACACAGTCTTGTTCGCAAAACTTAAAAAGATGCATGCAAAATGCTGCCTCAATTTTATTAAGTTTTGCCAATGCATTTTTTTTAGAGTGTACAATTGTTGGGTGGGGGTGCCAGTACAGGAGGCACATGCCATACCTATTGTACATATTTTTAGTGGTAGGGGAAACCGGAGCACCCGGAGGAAACCTACGCAGACACGGGGAGAACATGCAAACTCCACTCAGAAAGGCCCTGGTCCAACCGGGATTCGAACCCAGGACCTTCTTGCTGAGAGGCGAGAGTGCTATCCACTCAGCCACCGTGCCGCCACACAGAGTGGAGAGAGAGAGGAGAGAGTGGGGAGAGAGAGAGGAGGGAGTGGGGAGAGAGAGAGGAGAGAGTGGGGAGAGAGAGAGGAGGGAGTGGGGAGAGAGAGAGGAGGGAGTGGAGAGAGAGAGGAGGGAGTGGGGAGAGAGAGGAGGGAGTGGGGAGAGAGAGGAGGGAGTGGGGAGAGAGAGAGGAGGGAGTGGAGAGAGAGAGGAGGGAGTGGGGAGAGAGAGGAGGGAGTGGAGAGAGAGAGGAGGGAGTGGGGAGAGAGAGGAGGGAGTGGGGAGAGAGAGAGGAGAGGAGAGAGTGGAGAGAGAGAGGAGAGAGAGGAGAGAGAGGAGGGAGTGGAGAGAGAGAGGAGGGAGTGGGGAGAGAGAGAGGAGAGAGTGGAGAGAGAGAGGAGAGAGAGGAGGGAGTGGAGAGAGAGAGTGGAGAGGAGAGAGTGGAGAGAGGATAGAGAAGAGAGAGAGGAGAGAGAGGAGGGAGAGGAGAAAGAGAGAGAGGAGAGCAGACAGCTGTATTCCAAAGTTCCATGACAACATTGTTCCTGCACCAGCAGATCTGCAGGTGTGTTTAGCTCCTTCCACTTAAAGCTGGGGTACCTAACTTTAGTGTTTCATCAATAAATGTTGTTGTGACAAAAACTTGATGTCTTCATATAATCGTCCTCCTGATGGGAGAGAACACCTCTCCAGGGAGGGGTCCAGGGAGGTTTCTCACACAGACGCAACTCAAGGGCCTATTCTGTTCTTTGTGTCAGAAAGATCTAGTCTCTCTCACTCTGGTCTCTCTCTCTTTGGTCTCTCTCTGGTCTCTCTGGTGTGTTTCTCGCGCTCTCTGGTTTCTCTCTCTCTCTGGTGTCTCTCACTCTCTCTGGTGTCTCTCTCACTCTCTCTCTCTGGTCTCTCTCCCTCTGGTCTCTCTCTGGTCTCCCTCTGGTCTCTCTCTCTGGTCTCTCTCTGGTCTCCCTCTGGTCTCTCTCTCTGGTCTCTCTCTCTCTCTGGTCTCTCTCACTCTCTCTCTCTGGTCTCTCTCTGGTCTCTCTCTCTCTCTGGTCTCCCTCTGGTCTCTCTCTGGTCTCTCTCTCTCTCCCCAAACCTCAGATCCGTGGGTTAGTGAGAACCAGACCTGAGAGACTGGAACTCCTCCAGGACCAGGACCTGTGCGTCTCTGATGTCTGAAAACAGCGGCGAGTCCTGAGCATCTGAAACAGTTGTTTTGTGTTTCATGGTTTTACACTGGTCCAGACCAGAGCAGAGACCATGGTCCAAACCAGACAGATCAGGCAGAAATCCACAGGGAGAATGCTAACCCTTTTTGAAAAAACACTAATAAAACATTCAGAACTTCACTCTGAACCAGAGCAGAGAATCACCACACTGAAAAATGTAAATTCTTGAAAATATTTATTTAATTTTTAAAAAAATAACATTTTGCTTAAAATTAGTTTGTCATAAGATTATTTACCAATACTTCATAATCTTATCAGAGGAAAAATCTGTATTTTCTCTTGTTAGTAACTTTTAGAATCATGTGTTTGTTTGTTTGGACGGATGTGTTTCTGCTGCTGCTGGACACCTACAGTTCTCCTACAGGGATCAACAAAACATCTATCTATCTCTCTGTCTCTCTCTCTCTCTGTCTATCTCTCTCTCTGTCTGTCTCTCTGTCCATCTCTCTCTCTGTCTATCTCTCTGTCTATCTCTCTGTGTGTCTCTCTCTCTCTGTCTCTCTGTCCGTCTCTCTCTCTGTCTCTCTGTCGGTCTCTCTGTCTATGTGTCGAAACATGTCAATGTAATAACGCCACAAAAAACCTTATATTGTCTGGTATAGAAGAACCCAATACTTTTAATCTCTGTCTATCCTTCTGCCTATCTCTCTGTCTATCTCTCTGTCTATCTCTCCGTCTGTCTCTCTGTCTAGCTCTCTGTCTATCTCTCTGTCTATCTCTCTGTCTGTGCCCTCTGTCTATCTCTCTGTCTGTCTCTCTGGATGTCTCTCTGTCTATCTCTCTGTCTGTCTCTCTGGATGTCTCTCTGTCTCTCTCTCTGTCCATCTCTCTGTCTGTCTCTCTGTCTATCTGTCTGTCTGTGCCCTCTGTCTATCTCTCTGTCTATGTACCTCAGAACATGTAAATTAGTGCTTTATAGAGGTTTTCTTTCAGTCTGTAGACTCTGTATCTACATTCTCTGATCGACTCCTGATGAAGGAGGCAGTATCTGTGTCTTCACGGTTTGTCGAAGTGCTTGTGATAATTGTCCTTTTGGCAGAGAAAGCACATGGCGCCTCGTTCCAGGAGCATATTGTGAGGGGGAGTCTTCACACCTCGCTCACAGCCGGAGTTTCCACCTCAGCCCAAAGAGAGAGACTGATAGTAACAGCTCTGAGGAAGATCTGCTGCTAACATCAGTGAATCAGGCCCCAGCGGCCTCAGTCCTGGGTCTACAGCCTCAGTCCTGGGTCTACAGCCTCAGTCCTGGGTCTACAGCCTCAGTCCTGGGTCTACAGTCTCAGTCCTGGGTCTACAGCCTCAGTCCTGGGTCTACAGTCTCAGTCCTGGATCTACAGCCTCAGTCCTGGATCTACAGCCTGGGTCTACAGTCTCAGTCCTGGATCTACAGCCTCAGTCCTGGATCTACAGCCTGGGTCTACAGTCTCAGTCCTGGATCTACAGTCTCAGTCCTGGATCTACAGCCTCAGTCCTGGGTCTACAGCCTCAGTCCTGGGTCTACAGCCTCAGTCCTGGAGCTACAGGATCAGTCCTGGATCTACAGCCTCAGTCCTGGATCTACAGGATCAGTCCTGGGTCTACAGCCTCAGTCCTGGGTCTACAGCCTCAGTCCTGGGTCTACAGCCTCAGTCCTGGGTCTACAGCCTCAGTCCTGGGTCTACAGCCTCAGTCATGGGTCTGTGGGAGCCAAAAACGTATCAATGTCAATAGGAGTTGAAGCTAAATCACCTGTTAGCACTTCTGTGAGCTAGCGAGTTAGCATTGTCCGTCTGTATACAGCCTATACCTCGGACACAATGCAAAACTATAGGCTCTTTACAACGTTGTGATGTCGCATGAACGCAGCCTCTTTCTCGTGGAGTGGCGTCTCTCTCGCGGCGTCTCCGTTGAGATGAGTGTCACGTCGACCACATCGTGTTCTTTCTCTGACAGCGTCTCTCATCGCTCGTCTGTTCGGTTCAACTCGAAGGACCTTTTCTTCCGGAGAGCTCCATGACAACGGTTTCACATCTGAAAATCCGTAAGCAGAAAAATACCGCTTTTAAAACAGACCCAGAGGAGACTTTTACTGCAAACAGATGTGTGAGTTAAAGCTGGGGAACCTGACTTTCGCCCCCTTTAAATGATACAACAGCAAGAGTTTTGTCAAAGTTAAATTTAGCGAACAAATCAGACAGAGGCCAGAACCATGTGCATGTGAGAACTAGTGATAGAACCTCGAGCTGGTCTCTCACTCTCTGGAATCAATCCCTCTCTCTCACTCTTGTCTCACTCTCTGCTGTCTCTTTGGTCTCTCTCTCTCTAGTCTCTCTTTGGCCTCTCTCTGATCTCTCTCTCTCTCTCTCTTGTCTCTAGTCTCTCACTCTGGTCTCTCTCTCTCTCTCTTGTCTCTAGTCTCTCACTCTGGTCTCTCTCTGGTCTCTCTTTGGTCTCTCTCTGGTCTCTCTCTAGTCTCTCCCTCTGGTCTCTCTTTGGCCTCTCTGGTCTCTCTCTCTCTAGTATCTCTCTGGTCTCACTCTAGTCTCTCTCGCTGGTCTCTCTTTGGCCTCTCTCTGGTCTCTCTCTGGTCTCTCTCTAGTCTCTCCCTCTGGTCTCTCTTTGGCCTCTCTCTGGTCTCTCTTTGGCCTCTCTCTGGTCTCTCTCTCTCTAGTATCTCTCTGGTCTCACTCTAGTCTCTCTCGCTGGTCTCTCTCTCTCTAGTATCTCTCTGGTCTCACTCTAGTCTCTCTCGCTGGTCTCTCCCTCTGGTCTCTCTCACCTCTCTCTGGTCTCTCTCTCTCTGGTCTCTCTCTCTCTCTGGTCTCTCTCTCTCTGGTCTCTCTCTCTCTCTGGTCTCTCTCTCTCTCTGGTCTCTCTCTCACCTCTCTCTGGTCTCTGATAAAGCCAATGTAAAGTTAACAGAAAATGTGAAAACTAGCGATGGAAGCAAACAATTATTTTTTTTCCCCTGTATCCCATAGATTAATTTGTTGTGGTTTCAAAGTCAGGTCTCCAGCTTTAAGAAACAAAACCTCTCTCTGACGTATTCCAGGGAGAGACAAAACCATCTCAAAGCATACATTGTGTCTTTCAAACTGTCTGTGTTTACAATTCAAAGTCTATTAGAGGAATGATTGTCCACTCGTCCATAACAGCAGATCCTGTCCTCTTGATGACGCCGTTTACCATAAATGCCTTTTCCCGCCGTAGAAACTGCCTCCATTACGGCTCCGAGCGCAATCTCCGCTACTTTCCTGAAACGTGAACAGAGAAGGCCTTTTTCAGACCGTGATTTGTCTCTGAGCGGGAGAAGGTTTGCTGAGTTTATTGTCTACGTTGGTGTGAGTTGGAGGAGATTGTCTGAAATGCATTTGGATTTCCTGCTGTAATCTCACTGCGGCAGAGAGAGTCCCTGAACCTCGGAAAGAAGAAGGAAAAACTACTTCTTCAGATGGAACTTTAGTGCGGGCTCAGACTGGCATCATTTCAATTCTACACTACGACAAACCATAAGTCCTGTTTCCACCGACTCGACGCGACTCCATCTCTCTGTTTAGGAGTGTTCCACCGGCTAGCTACAGCCGCTAACCGGTACTTTTTAGTAACGGCTTGACCCTAGTTCTAACCGATACCAAAGAATCTGATGCCTGCGAACGTCAATTTGTGATTGGTCAGAGGCGCTGTCAATCACTCTGACCTCCCACACTTCCTGGTCTGTGTGTGCTCCTCCTGTATCCCGTGATGTGCAGCTAGTTATTGTCGGTTGTTGTCGCTCGGATCATTTTCATTACTTTACATTGTCTTAATGCAAGTATTTCTTTTTCCACAGCTGCATGAGGCCCCGAGATGTGTGTCTCCAGTGTGTGGTGTGTGCGTTGCGTTAACATGGTATGTGTGTGAGTTTAAGAATGTGTAGAAAATGGGTCTTCAACCGATAAGATGAGATGAGATCAACTTTTCTGATCCCACAATGTAGAAAATTATTTTTTTATTTCGGGAGGTACCAGTAGCTTGCCGCTCTCTTCAAAGTAGCAGTGTAGTGCAGTAAACATAAAAATGATTGATTCTTTGGTATAACACGACGCAGCAGAAAATGCCACAAAAAATACAGTTAGGAATGACCCAAATTTGGCTACATTTGCCCAAGATATGCCAAAGATTGTACCATTGTTTTAAATGGCTCTATCGAGAGACAAATGCCCACAATTGTAAAGCGCTTTATGACTCTGGTCTGTAAAATACGCCATATAAATAATGGTTACTTACTTTAAGAATGTTTTCAAACCAAGATAAAAATCGACTTCATCCAGTGTAGCGCAGCAGGTTGTTGACTGTATAAATGGACAAAGCTCTCTGATCGTATTGATCCGAAAAAAGCAGCTCTCCAAGGAAATAGGTTGGAGACCCTTTGGTTTCTCCTGGGGACGTGGTTTCTCGGCCGGGGCCATGTTTGAGAGGATTTAGTGGAGGACGGCTGCCTTTGGTCTGCCTTCTTCATCTTCTTCATCTTCTTCACCTTCTTCATCTTCTTCATCTTCTTCACCTTCTTCACCTTCTTCATCTTCTTCACCTTCTTCACCTTCTTCACCTTCTTCACCTTCTTCACCTTCTTCACCTTCTTCATCTTCTTCATCTTCACCTTCTTCACCTTCTTCATCTTCTTCACCTTCTTCACCTTCATCTTTTTCATCTTTTTCATCTTCTTCACCTTCTTCACCTTCTTCACCTTCTTCATCTTCTTCACCTTCTTCACCTTCTTCACCTTCTCCATCTTCTTCACCTTCTTCATCTTCACCTTCTTCATCTTCTTCACCTTCTTCATCTTCTTCACCTTCTTCACCTTCTTCATCTTCTTCATAATCTTCATCTTCTTCATCTTCTTCACCTTCACCTTCTTCATCTTCACCTTCTTCACCTTCTTCATCTTCTTCACCGTCTTCACCTTCTTCATCTTCTTCACCTTCTTCACCTTCTTCATCTTCTTCACCTTCTTCACCTTCTTCATCTTCTTCACCTTCTTCATCTTCTTCACCTTCTTCATCTTCTTCACCTTCTTCATCTTCTTCACCTTCACCTTCTTCATCTTCACCTTCTTCACCTTCTTCATCTTCTTCACCTTCTTCATCTTCTTCACCTTCACCTTCTTCATCTTCACCTTCTTCACCTTCTTCATCTTCTTCACCTTCTTCACCTTCTTCACCTTCTTCATCTTCTTCACCTTCTTTGTCGTCTTTTGTCTGTCTCTGTTCCTGTCTCCTCACATCTGTGGGTTTTATGGAGAAACACTCCCAGGAAGGAAGCTGTGGATGAACCAGAACTGTCTCCAACGTGACTATGAAGACCATGGGGAAACTGAACCAACTGAGATCTGTAAATAATTGTAATAATATTAATAATAGTAATAAATGTACGAATGTGAAACTGGAACTTGCTTATTTGTCAAACTTACCTGCCATCCATCCATCCATCCATTTTCTTCCCCTTAATCCATTTCTGGGTCGGGGGGTGGCAGTCAGAGCACCAGCCCCTCACTGATCCTCCTGCAGGTGCTGAGTCCACAGAGGGTGAGATCTTTCAGTGGGGGCTTCAGGCAAAGTGGGGTTAAGTGTCTTGCCCAAGGACACAACGACAGCAGTCATCCGTTTCCTTTTAAACGTGTTGTCCTGGTTTAAGCAGACTGGCGTTGCTGCAACTATTTTCTACATGAAGTAATAATTGTAGGTCAAATAATTAATACATTTATTATCTTTGCTTAAACTGGTGAATACAACTGAAATACAAGAAGGCTTCAACCCAGGCCACACATCCCAGTGGCCTAAACTGGGCTAGATTATAAAATTAGTTAAAAATATGAAAAAATAGATCAAATCAGCCCAGCTACAGTATGTTGTTCCAGGGTTATTACCAATTTTTTTATTGGTCAAAATAAATATTCAAATATTCAACATTTAACGAAAACAATTAATTTTGATCATGGTTTTTGAGCTTAAGTCCTAGCTCCTAATGTGCACATGAATGAACATAATTGCACCAACATCATCAGGGACAGCAGCACAGCAGGTAAAACATATGAAAAGTGTAGTGTGAGAACCGATGGCACCGAGAGGCAGTCACAGAAAGGGTCCACGCTCTGATTCCTCATTTAAACCTTTTGGGCTCAAAGTCTCAAAAGAATAAAAATCTAAAATGCTTCTCTTCTCCAAAGTTAGGGTTTATCTACACCTCTTCTTGGTGTTTTGATTTGCTCGAGGCCCCGGGATTTCAGAGAACTCACATTATGCTGAGATGGGGAGAAATATAACGGCGTTGACGATTAAAACGCAGTCAGGACAGATTGTTTTCAGGCTACATGCTAAGTGCGGTCAAGTAAACCATGCGTTGCTATGGTAACTAACATTGATATTGTAAAAGCTGTGCTTCAGAAAGAGAAATCAAGAGTATTTTTAGTGTTTCTCCGGAGACTGAAAGGAGCGACGTGGGGCTCCCGGGGGCCCGCGGACGCAGACGGCTCCACGGGTGTAGACCGCAGAGAACCAGAACCAAAACCAAAACCAGGGCGCCAGATCAGAAGAACTAACATGAATGATGAGCTATTGTCAAATCCTGCAGGTGTCACCGGGCCAAACTTATTTTTTTTCTCTCTCTCTCTTTTCAACCCTATTCATTTTTCTACAACACCCACAATGCCTTTCACTCCACACTGTTCCTTTTGTGGCAGAATTTCGCACCAGACACCACGGCTGCGGGATAATTATCAGCCATTGAAAGCTCCACAATAATAGCTCACGTCGAAGTGCTTTTTGATATCTTGCTTGACGTCTCAAATTGGCTTGTTTTTTTTTTTTCTTTCCCGAGCCGGCCTCGGTCTAAATGCTCTGCCCTCTTTTTTTATATTTATTTTTTTACGACTGACTTTGATTTGTCTGGGCCTGGCAGGGAGGCAGCTGGGCCCCTGCCAACTCTTCCAAATGGACCCCGGGCTTTTCGTTTAAGTGGGAAAAGATAGCGCAAGCAGCACCGGCCGTGGCGTTATTTTGACAGAAACACAAATTGCGTTACAACGGCCGAGACAGAGGAATGCGGCCCGCTGATGTGTCCTCATACTGTGGGACGGGGGTCGTTATGGCGGCGAGATGGAATCGGACAAAAGCAGAAACGTTCCAAAAGGTTATGGACGAGTGAAGCAGAGGATCAGCCGACGGAAAAGCTGTTTGTGGTGTTCGCAATAAGCCCTGTTTCCACCAACTCTGCTCTGCTCTGCTCTGCTCTGCTCTGCTCTGCTCTGCTCTGCTCTACTTGACTCAACTCTACTCGGCTCTACTCTATCTGGTCGTGTTTCCATTACGCTTTAGCATCTGGTCCAATATCCTACAAACCTTCCCACAACAAACCAGTATCTGTGGAAATTCCTGGGTAACCATGGCTTCCAGCAGCACTCTGGCCAATCACTCAGTTTGAACACTTTAGTACCGCCTCGGCCTGTATTGAACCAGGACCAAGAGGGACTAAAGACGGACCTGGTACTGGTTAAACTGGTTCCTATCACGGTAGAGCAGAGTAGAGTAGGACCATGTAGAGCTGGTGGACACAGAGCAATAGACATAGAGCCCAGAGTCAAATGTAAAAACCTAATGTCTTCACTTGTTATGAACATACAGTTATTTTCTCATTCTCAAATCACGAGTTTTCACGTCTACGTACCTTTGGGCTCTGTCACATCCTTAACACACATCACATCCAATAGTGACTCACAGGGACAAAGTCATTTCAGTAGATACTTTACTCCAGTACCTCTACTTTTATTTAAGCACAAATACTAGTACTTTTTAACCTGTGATGTGAAATGTTTTGATATTCTGCTGGAGCGTCTCTGTGGGCCTCGAGCCTGTGACCATCTGTCTCCATCACAGACTGAGTCCTAATGAGGCACAAACAAAACTGATCCCAGGTCAGGGCCACGAGAGCTGACGACCGCCATCTGTCTGTAGAGAGAGAGAGAGACTGTCTGTGGGCAGAGAGAGAGAGCGAGAGAGCCTGTGGGCGCTGAGAGAGAGAGAGAGAGAGTCTGTGGGCAGTGAGAGAGAGCCTCTGTGAACACTCTGTGTGGAATCTGTCCTCAGCATTTCTTACAGAAACGGCCTCAGGAGGAGAGCTCTGCAGCAGACAGGTCAAACTCAGGCCTCAGGGCCAAGATGTGAACCCAGCACATCAGCAGAAGCTTAACAGTGAAGTATAAATCCATGTGTTTAACTTTATATTGGGTACAGTTTTGGTTGAATCTAAAGAAACACATTTTGTTTTCAGTGAAAATTGTGTCATGTCAAAAAACCTTCATAATGAAGAAAACAATGATAAGAAAAGCACATTTGTTCAAATCCGGCTCCGACCGGTTCCTACTTGTTTTTACATGATTTAATGAAAGAGCAGCTCGCTCCAAGCTTCACTCACCCAAACCCAGCTCCTCGGCTTGTTACGCTGTGATTATGCCAAGTATCGTCCTATTTCACTGCTGTCTAAATTACTGTAATATTTAGAGGCCCTGGGGCTGGGCCTCTAATATTTAGAGGCCCAGCCCCAGTCACTCACAGAGGGAGGAACAGGTGGGGGTTATTTCCCTTTGAACGTGAAATACAAAAGTGAACGTTCAAGAATCATCATCATCAATCATCAATTCAAAATGATTAATTCAGTGGATTTTCTGTCACAGCAACGAAAAGTGCATTCTCTTCCATCGGCGACGCCTCTTTTCTCCCAAACACATCAACTCTGGAGCATTTATCAATGGCAGAAAGCAGCTCTTATCAGCCTCAGGAGACACTGAGACCCCAGCCTCAGGAGACACTGAGACCCCAGCCTTTGGAGATTCTGAGACCCCAGCTCCCGTAGAAGAAACAAGTCAGAGACAAACATAAAAACATCTCAAATATCCACTTTGTGTCTCAGCCCATCAACTGAAGGAGTGACGGCTGTTGGACTGGAACTAGGACTGGGACTAGGAATGGGACTGGGACTAGGACTGGGACTAGGACTGGGAATGGGACTGGGACTGGGAGGAGGCGGGTTAAGATCTCCCTCGCTTCTATGATGACGTCCTAAAACAACGCCCTAATAATCGCTAAGGTCAGTGACGTGCTAATGAGGTAGGATCGTTAGGCCTAGCATGAGCTATGGATAGCACTCTCGCTTCTCAGCAAGAAGGTCCTGGGTTCGAATCCCGGTCGGAACAGGGTCTTTCTGAGTGGAGTTTGCATGTTCTCCCCGTGTCTGCGTAGGTTTCCTCCTGGTGCTCCGGTTTCCCCTACCACTAAAAACCTGTACAATAGGTATGAATGTTGATGAGAGAGTGAATGGATGGTGTTGATTGGGGGCTCGCTTCTGTCATCACCGTGTGTGGAATGATTGGAACAATATCTGAGCTCTGCGCTTTGAGTGACCTTGTATGTTATGAGGATTTTAAATTTATTTCTAGTGTGAATCAGTTTTTCTGTATCACTTCCTAATTCTAGCCCATGCTACACAGATGGAAATGTGCTGTTTATTCATAGAGAGAACAGTTTGGAGTCACTGTACGTCCCCTTTAATGTTCATTTAGAGATTATTTACTCACGGGCTTCTCATGTTTAAGATTGTGAAATGGATTCTTTTGTGTGAAAAGTTTGAGTAAATGCTATGATTGACGCTTTCACTGTCGTTCTATAATTGCATGACCTGACACAGCCCACATCCTGCGGACCATGTGTGACACCAGAGACGACCCTGGACTCGGGCTGCGGTCGATGAGTCTGAGCTCAGAGGACGCGCCGTGTGTTTGTGGAATCTGTGTTATCGATCCAGACGCTCTCATTAACCGCAACAGCCTCGCCTCAGAGAGAGAGAGACAGGAGAGAGAGACAGGAGAGAGAGCAGAGAGAGAGAAGAGAGAGCGAGAGAGAGGAGAGAGAGAGCAGAGGGAGCAAAGAGAGAGCAGAGAGAGAGACAGGAGAGAGAGGAGAGAGACCAGAGGGAGCAGAGAGAGAGAGCAGAGAGAGACAGGAGAGAGAGCAGAGGGAGCAAAGAGAGAGCAGAGAGAGAGAGAGAGAGACCAGAGATAGACCAGAGAGAGAGCAGAGAAAGACCAGAGAAAGACCAAGGAGAGACCAGAGAGTGATGGCAACACAGCACCAGCCACGTCTCAGAGTGACCAGAGAGAGAGACTAGAGAGATCGGAGGGAGCAAAGAGAGAGCAGAGAGAGAGAGACCAGAGCCAGACGGGAGAGACTGGACAGAGAGACCAGAGATGGAAGGAAAATACAGTCTTTATAATCACATTACCGTGTTTTCAGACGGTCATTTTCAAACGTGGAATAAACAAAACAAAGTCTACACCTCCCTCTGGTGGTGGCATAAGGAGTTACACAAATGCTGCATTTTCGCCTGGGCAAATTATTTTTGAATAGACACGGTCAGTATTCCCATTATCAAGTTTAAAGGCCAACAATAATCATAGTTATTCTCTAAACAACACTCTTTCTGTTTGAACAAATAATGCTAAAAATGTTAGGTAGCCCAGCTTTAAAGTTGTTGTAGACATGAGACTGAGTGACAGGAATAATGTGTGATGTTTTGTGTCTAAATGAGGCCTCGCAACGGAGCCTGGTCCCAAAGGTTCTCATTGTGTGACATCAAGGCTTCAGCTGCAGACGACAGAAGAAGAAAAGAGACAGAGAGATCACAGGGAGACCAGAGAGAGACCAGAGAGAGACCAGAGGGAGACCAGAGAGAGACCAGAGAGACCTGAGAGAGACCAGAGAGAGACCAGAGAGAGACCAGAGAGAGACCAGAGAGAGACCAGAGAGAGACCAGAGAGAGACCAGAGAGACCTGAGAGAGACCAGAGAGAGACCAGAGACCAGAGAGAGACCAGAGACCAGAGAGAGACCAGAGAGAGACCAGAGAGAGACCAGAGAGAGACCAGAGAGACCTGAGAGAGACCAGAGAGAGACCAGAGAGAGACCAGAGAGAGACCAGAGAGAGACCAGAGAGAGACCAGAGAGAGACCAGAGAGAGACCAGAGAGAGACCAGAAAGAGACCAGAGAGAGACCAGAGAGAGACCAGAGAGACCTGAGAGAGACCAGAGACTAGAGAGAGAGATCAGTGAGACCAGAGTGAGACCAGACAAAGAAACCAGAGAGAGACCAGAGACTAGAGAGCGAGAGTGATCAGTGAGACCAAAGTGAGACCAGAGTGAGACCAGAGTGAGACCAGAGTGAGACCAGAGTGAGACCAGAGTGAGACCAGAGAGATACCAGAGAGGGACCAGAGAGGGACCAGAGATAGAGACCATAGAGAGACCAGGGAGAAAGAGAAAGATAAGAGAGACCCGAGAGACCAGAGAGTGTGTGATGTCTTGTGTCTGAATGAGCCCTGGCGACGGAGCCTGGTCCCAGAGGTCCCAGAGGTCATTGTGCAGGATCAAGGCTTCAGCTCCAGACCAAAGGAAACAAAAGAAACAAAGTAGAACAGGGGTGTCCAAACTTTTCAATCAGAGTCACTTTTATAAAACACAAACGGCAGAGAGCCAGGAGTGGCTCTGTACGTCGTAACACAATCGTAGTTTCTTTACTAACTACAGCCATTCAGCAAAAGTGAATCTTTCAGGACCAATTAATTTAATCAATCAATCAATTTAAATTCTTTAGGGAGCCACCAGAAAGGGGGTGGCGAGCTACTGGTAGGTAGGTTGGAGATCCCCGCTGCAGAATGTATGGAATCATAATAACTTTTAGATCATTCCTCCTCTGGTCTCTCTCTGGTCTCTCTCTCTGGTCTCACTCTGGTCTCTCTCTGGTCCCTCTCTTGTTTCTCTCTGGTCTCTCTCTCTTGTCTCTCTCGCTCTGGTTGCTCTCTGGTCTCTCTCCCTGGTCTCACTATGGTCTCTCACTGGTCTCTCACCCTGGTCTCTCTCCACTCTTTCTTTGTCACTCTATCTCTCTGGTCTCCATCTCTCTGGTCTCTCTCTCACTGGTCTCTCTCTCTCTTGTGCCTCTCTTGTTTCTCTCTGGTCTCTCTCTCTTGTCTCTCTCTGGTTGCTTTCTGGTCTCTCTCACTCTGATCTCACTCTGATCTCTCTCTAGTCTCTCTGGTCTCTCCCTGGTGTGTCTCTAGTTTCTCTCTCTAGTCTCTCTCTTGTCTTTTTCTCTGGTCTCTCTGGTATCTCTCAGTCTCTCTCTGGTCTGTCTCTGGTCTGTCTCTGGTCTCTCTGGTCTCTCTCTGTGGGCTCTCTCCGGTCTCTCTCTCTCTCTCTGGTCTCTCTCCGGTCTGTCTCTCTCTCTGGTCTCTCTCTGGTCCCTCTCCGGTCTCTCTCTGGTCTCTCTCTCTGGTCTCTCTCTGGTCTCTCTGGTCTCTCTCCGGTCTCTCTCTCTCTGGTCTCTCTGGTCTCTCTCCGGTCTCTCTCTGGTCTCTCTCTGTGATGTAAAACTCCTCTGACGTCTCAGACCGCCGCAGTCTTAATGGCCGCGCTCATTTCCTTCCATTCATTTGTTCCACCATCAAAAAGCATCGAGGGCTTTTTAAATCTCGGGCTCGCACGCGTCACTCCGGGCACAAAATAGCAAATTAAAATTTCATTAGGCGGAAGCTAATTTCTGGAGCAGAACATTTCTTTGACAAGTCGGAAGGTTTGAGGACATCAAAGACGCTCGCGCATTTCAAACGCACGGCGCCCGCGAGCTCCAGCGGTCTGAGGCGGTCTGAGGCGGAAGAGGCGCTCGCGGTGATGGGTCTTTAGCCCAAACTAAAGCTAAATGTTTGAAAGGCAACAATTTATGAAGGTTCTTTTTGTGTTTTTTTACTAGAAATATTTGTGTTTGGTTCTTCTATATCAGACAATAGTAAGTCAATGATGTCATCTTGTTTTAGTCCCAACAATTAGTAACAACAATAACAATGTGTGATTTTGACAATATCTCAAACTGATCCTGTTTGTTCAGAGAGACAGACTTAACGAGAGAGACAGACCAGAGAGAGAGACCAGAGAGAGAAAGAGACCAGAGAGAGAGAGAGACCAGAGAGAGAGAGAGAGAAACCAGAGAGACCAGAGAGGGAGACCAGAGAGACAGCAGAGAGAAACCAGAAAGAGACCAGAGAGAGACCAGAGAGGAGAAACCAGAGAGACAGCAGAAAGAAACCAGAAAGAGACCAGAGAGAGACCAGAGAGAAAGATTTAGGAAGTTTAGGAAGGTTCATTTTGTCTTTTTTACTAGAAATATGTGTTCCCCTATATATCGGACAATAGTAAGTTATTGATATCATTCTGTATTGGTCCCACTGTGGGGAAATGTCAGTGTTGCATCACCAGTTCAAGAAAATCAAACTTTTAAACACAAGAAATAGAATAGAAAATACTGTCACAGATAAACAAGGAAGGAATAAAAATAATATAATTTAATGAATGCTACAAAAAGTCTAAAGTGAAACGTATTAACTTCACTTGAATTCCTCAAGTACATCCTTTACTTGATATTACCAAGTAAACTCAAGTGATTGCAATAAAGTTTAAATTTCTGCTTGTGCTCCAACCGGGATTCGTACTCAGAACCCTGTAGGTAATGGTGCTACCCACTCAGCCACCAGGCCACCCTGCCATTAACACACCTGCCTCATTAAAGAGTCTACACGTCAAAATGTCAAAAGTGAGGCTTACTTGAACAGAAACAGTTCAATTCAAAGAAAACCCTGAGTGACATAGGCAAGCTTTAAATAAACTAACAATAAATGAGTAATATTTATTTACTGGGAAAAATCTATTTTTGATATCTGAAGTACAATTGAAGTTAGGGTTCACAGTAGAGCCCTGCACGGGCCTATTATCTGGGCCCGAGCCCGGCCCTGGCCCGAGGGGGTGGCGCCCCAGCCCGGCCCGGCCCGATATGGTTTCTCAATTTTCAGGCCCGAAACCTGCCTATTTTTTTTTTTTTGTAACCTCCCATAACAATGTTTTAGCTTAGTATATAGTGCCGCGCACTGATATGAACGCAGACTTAGCTAGAGGGCGGAGTTATACATGGTAGTGATGTGTTGCAATGAGTTCTGTGTGTGCGGAGTGGTGCAGAGTGAACATCTGTATGATACACAGCTGTATGATGCCCAGATGCTGCAACACACCTGTAAGTAATGCTATGTGCCGTCAATGACAACACTACACAGAACAACAAACACTACAGCGTGATAGAACGCTATATTCAGTGGGTGCGTTCGTAAATCTATTCTGCCGCTCTGAAAATGAAGAGCCCAAGCCCGGCCCGTGTCCGAGGTCATTATGCGGTCATCGGCCCGAAGCCCGGCCCTCGGGCTGTCGGGCCGTCGGGGCCCTCGGGCCAAGGGCTCAAGTGCAGGGCTCTAGTTCACAGTGAGGAACAAGACATGGGGGAAAACAACAATGGCCCGACAACAAGAGGTCGGGAGCACAGGGTCTAAACACACACAGGTGCAGAAACGGGTGCAGACACGGGTGCAGACACGGGTGGAGACACGGGTGCGGACACAGGTGCAGAAACGGGTGCAGACACGGGTGGAGACACGGGTGCGGACACAGGTGCAGAAACGGGTGCAGACACGGGTGGAGACACGGGTGCGGACACGGGTGAAGACACGGGTGAAGACACGGGTGTAGACATGGGTGGAGACACGGGTGCGGACACGGGTGGAGACACGGGTGCAGACACGGGTGCAGACACGGGCGCAGACACGGGTGTAGCACATCAGGGCAATCAACACAGCAGACCTGAAGTAAAACTCACAAGAGAAACAAATGTATCAAAACAACCCAGACGATGATCAGGAAGTCCAGGCTGTGACAAAGACATGGGTTTGGTCCATAAGAGGCGAGTGACCAACGTCCATAAGTGTTGATAAATGTCATTAATACTATATGTTGCATAATTAAAATGTTGTATACTAATGATTTTGAAAATAGGCCCTCTGAAGAATGTGCACGGGGAAAAGCCCCAAGGACAAGGATTGCAAACAGGAATAAAGAGGGTCAAATGGAGAAACTACAATCAGTCATAGAGATACCAACTTTCAAAACGGGACAAATTATTAACTCCAGGAATAAACATTCTTGTCTCTCTGGCGAGGCCAAAAGTCCAAAACACCATCTGGCTAATCTCTCTCAGGCAGACTGGGAGATTCTCCAAAGGCATTCTGACGCCTCCCAGTGGACACGGGACGCCAGCACACCCGAAAAGAACATTCGGGAGACGCCCACAAGTGATGTCATCAGACGTCTTGATAAAACTGTTGGTTTGAGTTCTGGGGGGAAGGTTAGCGCAGGGGAAGAGGAGAGGGACATATTAGTTTTAGGAGCACTTTTTTTGTTGAATATTCTGTATCTGATTGTAAAGATAATTAAATGCAGATGTTAAACGTGAAGATCTCTTGTCTCGCTCTTGCATCGACTTTGGATACGTCAGTCAAAGGGAATTATTGACTACATTTTGGTGACCCCGACGTGATCGGGGCAGGAGCGGGACAGAGATGAGCTCAGTTATAGAGACTGGATTTGTGGGTTTGGAAAAATCTCTCTGCTCTTCAAAAAGGTCGCTTCTAAGGTAAGCGGATCACAGTTTTGGAAATCTGCACATTGTTTTAAATAGAAGAGAGAGAGATTTTGGCTCGACAGATTGCAGCGTGGCCAGACGACCGCCGTGACGGGGCGTTCTATCGGACGCGATAGAACAATAGTCAGGTTTAGACGTTTTAACCTTGGGGGAAGCATGGGTCCCTCCAAAAAAAACAGAACAGATGATGAAAAGAGCCACAGGGTTTTAAAGTGCAAAAGAGGCACAAGTGTTTAGAGAAATAGGATTAGAAAATAGGGATAGTTAGGGTCAGAAGTTATAGGATAATAAAAACTCCATATCCCCCGGGGGTGGGGAAAAGGGCACAATTAATTTAAACAGAAGAAAAGCCAAGTATTTAAAATGTGGATTCTGATAATAATGATCTGATTAATGAGAAAAAAGAGAGCCTCTTGGCTGTAGTATACGAGTTTCATGTGAAGAAATGATCAGTTATGGAAGTTTTTCTCTTATTCTGATGTAATCGTTTAATAGTCACAGAGAATCAAAAAAAAAAAAAGAGATTCTGCTGGGACTATTACTCATGTAAGCAAATAGTAATGTTTTCCATTACTGACGTATTTAAGGATAAAATGTAAAGTGTCGTTTGACGTGAGAAAAACTTTTACTCCATAGGCGTCTTAGAACAAGTTTTTTTTCCCTACCATTTTTGTGATATAAAAGTTAGAATGATCTTAGATGAGCATTATACTTTGGGAAAAATAGGGCTAGGTTAGTAGTTGAATGCAGATTTGGTTTTCAGAATTTAATGTTTAAAATGTTAATTAGTAATTATTTCATAGGTTTATTTTGATTGTAATTAATCTTTGGTTTGGTATGGTAAGTTAACTATCTCTTGTTTTTGTGTTCTTGTTTGTTGTTTTTTTTACGAGAAAACTTCTGTCTGTTTATTTGGCCAAAAATCGTCCCTGCCACAAAACCACACGAGCATCATCTCATCATCAGGTACTCCCCTCTCCCCTGCGGGTCGCAGGGGGCAGCTTCGGCTGCAGCAGGCTTACAGGAACTCTGAAAGAAGACTTCTTCTACTGCCGTGAGGAGGAAAAGAAAAGACCAGCAGGACTTTTTTCACAAACTGGTGTTGTCCATCAACGAAACAGAAGGTGGCGGTAATTCGAGAAAGAAATAGGCCGAACCAACCGCGAAAAACCAAACAAGAAGAAGAAGGACCACGGACACATTTGGGTGCGTCAGAATATGAAAGCAGAAGAAAGACTTTATGAGAAAGTTTCGGAAGAAGAAAGAAAGTGATTGTTGAAAGAAGGAAGAATGACATTGGGAGAAAAGAGTTAGCGGAAGAAGAAAGAAGTGATTGTGTAAAGAAGAGAAAAATGACATGGAGACAAAGGACATTGGACACTATGAGAAAAAGACATTGAAAGTCGCCATGAGTAAAAGAAAGACATTAACGGACATTGAGACGTGGCTGGCCTAATGAGACACACAGAAGGTAAATATACAGACAGGCAACAAACGCCAGAGACATATTAAGACATATTACACATTTAGCTAAGGGTCATTCGTTATAACACCACATTTAGCTGTATGAAAAGAATACAGGACAATCGTTAAAAATTAATTAGACTCTTGCTTAGCATGAGACACAGGAGATTAGAACAGCAGTATATTTACATGTACGAGGAGCTCTTTCTATTGAAACTAGTATTATTTAAAGTTTAGACGCGGAGATGTTTAGAAATTATTGATTTTAACTGCATGTATCTTGGTAATACGGATATTTAAAGCTAGTGTTTTCAACCTCGTGAACCGTGGCTCGTTTTCATTTAAGAACATTCACATGCATAGATGCAATACTGGTGCTAGAAAGAGGAACTGCAGCCTTTTATTTGGACGTGCATTTAGTACAAATTGGTTGGTTCAGTCAATTAAGGTTTGAAAGATTTAAGCATTTCTGAATTTTGGCCTAAAGGTTGATTTTGGCTCACTTTCTGATAACACATAGACGCAACACTGTTCATTGCGTTCGAAACAAAGATGTAGGGACATTGTATGAAATCTTTTATGACATGTTTCTCTTCCAAATAGTCTAAATTAGACATCAATTAGGACATTTATGTCTTTGATACTTAACTGTTGGCAGGTTATCTGAGACTTGATTGGCGCAAGTACAACACACATAAAAACAATGGTCTTTTCTCCACATGGAACGTGAAAACAAAGGTTGTATGTATTAAACGTTTGAAATGAAAAACTAATTACTTTTTAAGGATTACGAAATGGCTTTAAAAAAAAAAAGTGGTAAAGAAATACATTTATTGCTTGCTACGTGCATTGAGGTTTTTTTGTTTTTAGTATACACAGAGCTCATTAAAAAATATAGGGGACACAGGTTTGGGACAAGCTCGTAGTAACAGACCACGGTGGTTTTTAACACAATTAAGTTTTGAAAAAGGATCCTTTTAGGAAACAGTCTCTCAAAGCTTGTGCATGTTATGGCAGGCTTCTGAATGTTTTGCAACTATAAAAATGACTAATGAGGACAATTGTAATTGGAAATGGAAAAAAATATACAAAGTTTTAATATTACAGGCCTCCTGGTTGTCTATATGTTTGTGCTATGTTATATGTTTGTGAGTCATGTCCATACCACTACGTTGACCTTAACTAAACTGGGACCGATACTCAACGTCGGCCTGTGGGAGTGGGATGTGAGTGTGATGTGAAATTTTGAGGACCGTGTGGGACGAGGAGTGTCTGACACGGAGATGGAATAACTAAAGATTTTCTGTATTGTTTATGTGTCTCATGAATAATTATTTTTGTCAACAGCATACGGTGTAAGTACTAGAGATTCAAAAGATGGACAAGCTTTACTTGAACAGGTTGTGTAATAGTGAGAGTACTTCGGAATGAGTACTCTAGAAAATTACCTCTGAGAAAGTTACTCTGTAGATGAATAACTTGCTGCAAGGTACTGGGAGACCCTCCCTCTGCTGTTTGTCCCGCCGGACAGGGATTCGGTTCCACGCAGTGAGCGGTATTGGGCGGAGGCAACTTTGGTCTTGTTAATTCTCATTTAGGGGAGAGTATAAAAATTAGAACACATACATTTTGTTAAGTCTGTATTTGGCTAACAGCCTCTGCCCTTGGATGACACACACCGTCTGTCAATGCAGTTATGTTTTGCCCAATTAGATTGTAATTGCAAACAGGCTGCAACCATGCGCAGAGAGGGAAGTGGGCCGTTTCTTGTGTTCTAATGTTTCTTTTTCAGATGAACGATAAATCTGCACCTGTTCAGGATAAAACACAGTAGTATGGTATCATAAGGAAAAGAGCCTCTACATTGGAACCAAAGCCCACAATATGAATTGGAGACGATCCGGGGAGGAACAACAGGATTGGATCAGTAATCTACACACACACAGATGCTTGTTTTTTACTTTGGAACACGACCAAACAGAGGGTGAGTATGGTTATTGTTTTGTCAATAGGCTGGTCATGTCCTTAACCTTCTAAATCATTAGAAAGAAGTGGAAAACATATATCTTACAAAACATAATAATAATTCAGACAAGGGCAGCCTACAAAGCTACAATGGGGATAAATTATTAAGTAATTTTCGGAGTTGCCAAAATAAATAAATTCTATATTATGTCCCATAGGGGCGATCGGGTCATTCTAAATTTAGTGTTGTGCAAATTTAAATAGGAGAAATAATAGCGCCTGTATAACATCAAACAGATATACTCATAAAGATAATAGCTTGATATCAATAATAGAATAGAATGAAATAGTATGGCAGCTATAATGTCAGTTGTTTTCGAGGAGCTATAGGTTGACAAGGTCGCTAGGAAAGACGGTTGTCGATAAAACAATAGTAATAATTAGTTAGACTAGTGGAATAATCCAAAATCGTTCTATTGTGGAAATAAGTATCTATAAGGTCAAAATTGTTCTAATAACTAACGTAAACAAGGACATCAATATGGAGTCAGATTTTAGATGTTTTCTGTTTTCCAATCTGTAGGGAAAAACTGGTGCAGAGGTGTTTATAGAGAGTAGTATTAAATGCAGACATAGAACAACAGGCGTTTAACACAATTTTAAATCTAAAATAAGCTCAAATATTAACATTGCTCTTGACGCAGCTCTGAGCTGCTACATTCGGGAACAGCGTTAAATGTTATTGTTTTATTACAAACAGTCTGCCATGTCATTCTACACAATATTAAGTTTGGGCAAGTCTTTAAACAGTTATAAGCAGCGGAACAGCAAGCCGCGATGATTGTGCTTTTGTTTAATAAATAATTAATGCACTAGCCTTGTATAATGTAGAGAACGTTTTAATATTTGTGTTAAATTCCCTTTTCAGGCAACCTTGATTTAGATGTATGTCTTTATTTATTGAGAGAACGACTGTGTTGTTTTTGGAATTGTCTGAAATACAATACATAGAATTGTGAATTTTTTGCAGAACAAGAAACTGCCAATAAAAATCGTCTATTGCCAATGCAATGGTTACAATCAGAAACTCAAAAAATTGGGACTATGATTTTGGCTCAAACTACAACCCAAGATTTGGAGTCACAATAGAAGTGTAAATAGATAGATGCTTTTACAAAAAAAAAAAACAGAGATTATTTTTTTAGACAGCGGCCAATATCAAACGGTAAAAAGATCAATTTCCCTTCATATTATGTCCAAAAGTAGTTACTTTCAAAAAGTAGGATAAGTTCATGAGTGTCGCCTACCTAGATTATTTGCTTAGATAATGAGATAGATTAGAACCACAGAGCATTCAAAAACATTTAAAAAGCATTTGGTTAATATGAATATCGCACAAAAGTAGATTGGTAGTTTTCGAGAATAAGAGCAGGTCGATTTTGTCCGCAACTGATTAGAGAATGTTTTGTAGATATCCCAGAGAAAACCTAAAATAGATTAGTACAGCTCCTGTAATGATAATACCAATTTGATTTTTAATGATGAGAGAATCAGAATGACTCAGCGGTGGCGTGAGAAAGGTTTCGAATGTGGTTTTGAGATGTATTCTTTCTGTACTGGTCTTCACAGATATCAGCATGAAACGCTAAGCACAAAGTCTGAATGATACCGACGTTCTGTAGATTGTAACCTGTTTTTACCCAAGGTCAAAAGAGGAAACTGTGCATAATTAATATGATGGTAGTACTCCTGATACGGATAATAGGCCAATTGAAGATGGTGCACGGGGGGAAAAAGCCCCAAGACCAAAGGAATATGCACTCAGGAATCATAGAGATGACCAGCTTTCAAAAATCCGGGAACACATTTTTAACTCCAGGAATAAACAACTGCTCTTCTACACTTGGACGAGGGCAAAAGGCAAATCACATCAGGACGCCCCAGTGGTGGGGGGGCTTTGTTTGCTCAGGTGGAGGGGAAAGACACAGACCGGGTCCAGACCAGGGGCCAGGACCGTTCCCAGACTGTGGGACGTCCATCGGACCTTTGGATAGGAAACTGCTGGGGTCGGAGCATTGGACGTCAAGTCAGCCGAGCGGCTAGGAGAGAAAGGGACATATATAGTTCTTTTTTTTAGGAGCACCTTTTTGTTGAAAATTCTGTATCTGAGTGTAAAGATAGTTAAATGCAGATGTTAAACGTGCAGATTCTCTTGTCTAGCTCTCTGGCATCGATTTTGGATACGTCAGTCAAAGGGATTATTGACTTCACTAGATACTGTGACAATAAATAGACTCACGGGATGTATTAAACGATTCTCGAGTTTTGAACTAATGTCTGCTCTGGACATGTTCAGTTACATGGTCTGGATTACAGCTGGTCCGTCTGTAGGAGCGGGGACTTCAACCCGAGGTCCCTCTCACTATTTCTCCCACTAGTTTTTGAGTTGTTCTAACAGGGACTGTGGGGTTCATTTATGGTTTATGGCAATTTATGGTCATCTGCATGTGTGTTTGCTGTTTTTTTCTTTTGTATGAATGTTGGTTTCCGTCCGACTGGGTTTGTATAGATCTGTGTATCGTTTTGTATTCTCATGTCGGTGTTGGTGAATCCAGAGGGGGCTATACAAGATATAAATGTAATTGGATTTTTTAATCTTTCTATTCCCATTTGACTGTTGCTGCTGTACAGTATTGGTCCAGACGGGCGGCGCGGATTCAGGGTCCGAACCAGCGGATCAGGCGAGAAAAACCCATGGAGGAGGAATGCAATCTTTTATTGAAGGGACGCATTCAGCATTTTACGTTGGAACAGCGTCAGAGGAAATGGCTCAGAACCACAGCGGCTCTGCTCCACCTCTGCTCGCTCGGGACCGAAGTGATGTCGCTTTAATTATCACTATTGTTAGCTACTTTTAGAATGATCAAATGTTTGGGTTATTGTTCGTTGGACACAACTGTGTATTTTGCTGCTACCTAACACTGCAAGGCTCCTACGGGGATTCAATACACATATCTAATCTATCTATAAGTATTCACAATTGTGGCCCAAACACAATTTATAAATGTAGACAAAAGAGACAGCAGTGTTTTAAGCTCCACCATCTTCTGGCATGGGATGCTGGAGCTAAAACCATTCCAGATCAGTCCATTAACAGGCGGACAAAGCTGCCACAACATAGTCTTAAACATGGTTTCTCTTCATAATATTGTAGCCATATGTCATATAGTGCAATAGTTCAAGGAAAATGTCAGTTTTCCAATTTGCTCCGGTCTAAAACGAACTTATCTAAACATTGTGGTGTCATAGAAAAACAGGAAGTTATTGTCAAATAAGTCCAACACTCGATCGTTCTCCGGGTCTCTCTCGTCTGGTTTCCTTGCCTCTCTCGCTCCGCTTTGTGTTACTCATCCGTCTAATGAAGGCAGATAAAACCTTATGCTACTTCCATTTCTTTTTTAGGGTTCATAAACTTGTCTCCATCTCCCACACTATTGTTTGTCGGCTCGCGCTTCGCTATACACATCAAAGTTTCCGTCCATCGATTCGCAATCGGACTAGACTGAACCCAGTGATTGGTGTTTCAGAGAGTACACCGGGACTCTGATCTCAACACATGTGCTTCTATAATGCACATTCAAGACGTCGATACACCTGCTCTTCCGTGACCTCCTGTTCAAAGATGGCAGCCGTTGCCATGGCGACGGCGGGATCCCGGTGCGTCCCGGTGGAATGGCCTCGCGCCTAACAATCTGCCGCTGATTTGTGGCCTCTCCGCGCAGCTGCGTCTTCGAGCGACCGAGAAAATGAGTTTTGTGAAGAAGCCGACGCAGACAGAACAGAAACGCTCTGCTCAGCCAGCTCCGAAATAAATGAAAGTAAATGTGGAAAACTTATCTATGTGGCTTGATCTAATGAAAGACAGCATTACGATATAAACAGAAAGATCACAGAGAGGAGTTTACTTTGACATGGGAGTCAATAGGAACTAGAGAGAGTTGGTGCAAAACTTTGTCCATGAGCACTTCCCTATTGGGCTTCAATCAATCAATCACTTCTATAGCACAGTTCATACAGTAATGAACCCAAAGTACTTCACTTTGACATTTAAAACCAACAAATCTTCAAATTAAAACACATTCAAAAGGCCATTTAAAAACAATCATTGAGCTAGCGGGTTAGCATTGTCCATTTATACACAGTCGATGATCAGAGACATAGAACTGGCGTCTCCTACCTGTAGCTCAGGAGCTACCAGTAGCTCGCCAACCCCTTTCAGGTAGCTCCCCAAAGGATTCTGAATTTAACACATTGAGTCACGACAAATCTATTAAAAGTATAAATATCTGTTTTTTACAGTCTTAAAACATGTGCTCTATAAATGTGTGTGTTTAATGCATGGATTTTTATTACGACTGCAAAAAAAGTAGTAGCTCTCTGCCTCTTCTGTGGTGTAAAAGTAGCTCTCCGAATGAAACGGGTTGGAGGGCCCTGCAATAGAAGGTCAGCTGTGGAAGCTAAAGAAAAGCTAAAGGACATTTTTTTTGCGGTGGAACACTGCCGTAACATGGTTTTAAAGGAGCATCGTGGCCGGTGCGTCTCTGCGGCGAAGAGAGAAGCCCTGGTTTCTGCATGTGATGAATGCTGCTGTCGTCTCGATGGGAGAGAAGGGATCGATCTCTAAACGTAGACTTTTGTTCATCAATCACCAAAACAGAGAAAATCCATCCAGCGCTAAAAATACTCTGTGGCCTTTGTGGAATCAATGAGAGTCGTGTGTGACCAGAGACACATCAAGGAGACTTCTGAACAGACTGAGAAGCTCCACACTCCCGGCCACAAGGGGGCGCCACTCCTCCATACCACAGACGGTAACTGACAATGCTAACAAAGACTATATACATTACCGATGCTAACCCGCTAGCTCAATGAAGCCCGATAGCAAAGAGTTATTGTCAGTGATCCAGGATGTTTATGGACATTGGTCTCCGATGTCTCTATGTGTTTTTACGACTACATTTCGTGTTTGATTCTCTGATCTGCGTTGGCAAATCGGCAGTTCTCTGAGACGACTGCTGATTTAGGGATTTACAAAAATAATTGTGTATGTAATTGAATTGAGTTTTGCCTTTTGACTCAGCTCCCTCTTCACCATGACAGTCCTATACAGCTCTGACGGCAGACGCTGCTCCCTCTTCATGATAAATTAACTACTTAATCGAGGCAAAGACATTATAATCCATGCTTTTTGTTATTTACAATGAGATAAACTGTTTTAGCTAATGAGACAGAGCTCGGGAAGCCTGTTCTGCCCCATGCAAAGATTTAAAAATGAAAAATAAAAAAATTCCAGCGTTTGTGAGACTGACCCTGGAACAAAAACACAACATTGATCCAAATATAGAAACGTTTATTTTACAGCAAAAATATGAGTCGTTTGCATCAGAAGAACCGTAGATAAATCTAGAAACACGTTCACTTCTGTCAGTAGAAAATAGATTTGTCCTGATACAAAAAGTGCAATTCCACCGCGGGAAAATTGCAGTTTTAAAACCCTCTGCCCCGAAAACGCCCAGAGACGCCACAGTCACAAAAAAACAACGTTACAGAAGAAAGAAAGGATTTTACACAAACTTTTAAACTTAAAACATTATTAGAGCAGGGTCAAAGTCTGGCCCGAGGGCAGGCTCCGGTCCGCCACGCTATTTTAAGTGGCCGCTGGTTTTGTAGTATGATTAACTTGCAGAATTGATGGTGAAGGGCTACTAAAGCTAATGCTAATTTTATCGGGAAAACAACCACATTACTTAATTATTCCAAACCTTATCTTATCTTGAACCCGTCACTAGAATTCCCACAGCAGTCAATTTGACGGCTTTTCGAATTTGGAAGCGCGTTTGGTCGTCAAACCGTTCTGAATTTTTCTGTCTCTACATGTAGTTCATTTCTGTCATTATGTTTTACTAAATTTTATTGTATTTTGTGAATTGACTAAATCCTGGACTGGGGCTGGTTCAGAGTTACTAGTTACCATAGCAACACACTGATTATGCTGACATTGATATTAGCATTTGGTAACTTTCAACTAGCTGTTTTTTGCTGTATTCAAAGTTATGCTGGTTAGTTTGACTTTAAAAACAGCAAAAGTAATTCGTTGAAAGAAGTTAGCATGTTTTAAACAAACTGCATAATTTCTTATTGAAGGTATAAAGGAGGATTTTCTACTTCCGGGTGGATCATCAAGACTATTGGTCCTCCCAAATGTCAATCATTCTGGTGATTTGTGCTCGTTCAATAAGACCAGAGAGTTTTGTTCAAAAAGTGGAGCGGGCGGTTCTTTCCTAAAACCCTCCTATATACATTTAAGTCGCAAAAATGCACACTTTATTATTATTATTTTTCCTTTAGAATTCCATTGATTTTAATGAGAACCGTTAAAATGACTGCTCTCTGGGAGTTCTAACAGTTTCATACTTCTGGGAGTCCGAGTGTTAAACATGATCATTATTTGTTTCTTAAATTTCAAGAATTAAATGTAGTAAAACTTTGCTTTTTCTTCGGTGTGTCTGGGTCTTCATTATAGTCGTGGCAACCGTTGCTACGGCCGTTGTCAAGGCTGATAAAGTAGTCCCTTTCCTTAGATATACGTTTTCTGATCTGTATATTTTGTATTTTTCCCTCAGAAGAATTTAAACATGATCATTATTACTTTTGTATCAGACTAAATGGTTCAAAGCTGATTCAAAGAAGAAATAGTCAGAAAATCCACCGACCGCTAACTTCAGGGACTCCCCCCATCCCTTCTGTCTAAAAGCTCAGTTTCTGCAATAATTATCCACCCTCTTCAAGTTGAAATCAGTGCGGATCATTTGAACTATTTCAATAATGGATTTGTTACAATTAAACTTCAGCTGCACTGGACACAAGAGAACATTTCAATTCTGATTTATAGGAAGACGTAAAGCTGAGGAACCTGAATCCTGACTCAAAACAGTTTGAAAACATATGTGCAAACTAGTGATAAAAGCAAACAGAAAGGGAGAGAGAACAGAGAGACCAGAGAGAGAGTCCAGAGAGAGACCAGAGAGAGAGACCAGAGAGAGAGACCAGAGAGAGAGACCAGAGAGAGACCATAGAGAGAGACCAGAGAGAGAGACCAGAGAGAGACCAGAGAGAGAGACCAAAGAGAGACCAGAGAGAGTCCAGAGAGAGAGAGACCAGAGAGAGAGACCAAAGAGAGACCAGAGAGAGAGACCAGAGAGAGAGACCAGAGAGAGACCAGAGAGAGAGACCAGAGAGAGAGACCAAAGAGAGACCAGAGAGAGAGACCAGAGAGAGAGACCAGAGAGAGACCAGAGAGAGAGACCAGAGAGAGAGACCAGAGAGAGACCAGAGAGAGAGACCAGAGAGAGAGACCAGAGAGAGAGACCAGAGAGAGAGACCAGAGAGAGACCAGAGAGAGAGACCAGAGAGAGAGACCAAAGAGAGACCAGAGAGAGAGACCAGAGAGAGAGACCAGAGAGAGACCAGAGAGAGAGACCAGAGAGAGAGACCAGAGAGAGACCAGAGAGAGAGACCAGAGAGAGAGACCAGAGAGAGAGACCAGAGAGAGAGACCAGAGAGAGAGACCAAAGAGAGACCAGAGAGAGTCCAGAGAGGGACCAGAGAGTTGCTAGAGAGAGACCAGAGAGACTAGAGAGAGACCAGAGAGGGACCAACGAGAGTACAGAGAGAGAGATTCACGAGAGAGACCAGAGAGAGAAACTCCAGAGAGAGACCAGAGTAGGTTCTATCTCTAGTTTTCACATGCATATATTTGACCTCCCTCACTTAACCAATGACTCTCAGCCCTAATAGTCAAAAAGTGACTCACAGGGACAGCAGGTTGTGGTCCCTTTTCTGTATTTTTCTTTTTCCCAACACTCTTCCTGTTGGACAAACTCCATATTCCGTATTCATAGGGAGGAAAAGTCAGGTCCCCCAGCTTTAATTAATCTAATCCCAGGGCAACAATCAGTTACATTTTGGACTGAGTCTAAGTGTTCACAATGCACGTCTTTTTCACAGTTTTGTCTTTAAACGGTGGAAATCAAAGCAAAAAATGCAAACAATAAAACCTAAGCGGGAGAGACGTCGCCACGGTGACGCAAAGAGGAGAAAGAAAATAGAAGAAAACAAAAGCTAGAAACAATAAACGATACAAACACTGAACAAACGAAGAACCAGGAGAGGCTGGGTCTGGGCAGAGTCTGAGGAGAGCAGGGAAAGAAGTCCCGTCGCTCCGGTCACAGCTAAATCACAATTCATTAAATACGAGAAGGAAAACGGACCCGCTTTGCTGAGTTCCGCGACCGAACGCCTCCGGAGAACGTGCTTCCGGAGAACGTGCTTCCGGAGAACGTGCTTCCGGAGAACGTGCTTCCGGAGAACGTGCTTCCGGAGAACGTGCTTCCGGAGAACGTGCTTCCGGAGAACGTGCTTCCGGAGAACGCGCCTCCGGAGAACGTGCTTCCGGAGAACGTGCCTCCGGAGAACGTGCCTCCGGAGAACGTGCCTCCGGAAAACGTGCTTCTGGAGAACGTGCTTCTGGAGAACGTGCTTCTGGAGAACGTGCCTCCGGAGAACGTGCTTCCGGAGAACGTGCTTCCGGAGAACGTGCCTCCGGAGAACGTGCCTCCGGAAAACGTGCCTCCGGAGAACGTGCTTCCGGAGAACGTGCTTCCGGAGAACGTGCCTCCGGAGAACGGGCTTAGGAATAACCATGGTTGACTAGTTAGTGTTTGAAAAGACAGATTCTAGATCAGGGGTCTCCAACCTGTAGTTTGGGAGGCATCGGTAGCTCCCCATCCCCTTCCAGGTAGCTCGCCTAACGATTTAGAAAGAACAAATCTAATATTTCAGATTGTATTATTCATTATTGTTATTTAGTAATAGAAATGCACTGATTTTGTGCACTAGTAACACATACGTGATGATAAATAATTAATGTACCCAATATCAGGCTCGTTCACAGCAATATATCACCATTTTTTTTCTCAGGGCCGCTCAAAGGAGTAGCTCTCTACCTTTATGTCCCGGGAAAGTAGCTCTCTGGGTGAAAAAGGTTGGAGACACCTGTTCTAGATATTCCCCCAAATCCAAAGTGTTTGCACGACTTGAAAACATGTCTGGATACGCAGTGAGGGCCTCTGAGCGCCGGAGCTAGCCATTTAGCATTAGCGTAGCACGTGTTAACTGAGCATGTGTTATCTTAAGCACGCATTTCTTCAGTATGGATTATAGCACGTATTAGCTCAGCAATTATTAGCTGAGCATACATTAGCTTACCACACATTAGCTCAGCATGTGTTGCATTAGCTAGAGCTTAGCAAATAATAGCTTAGCACTTTGCTCGACACGCATTAGCTCAGCACATGTTAGCTTAGTCCACATTAGCTTAGTATGTAATAGCTCAGCACATGTTAGCTTAGCATGCATTGCATTAGCTCAGCATGCATTGCATTATTTTGAGTTTAGCCTTTTTTTCCTAGATTATTTTTAAAGATATTTAATGCTTTATATATCATTTTTCCGATAATCTTTTGAATATTTTGAGACCCACACTTTGCAAACAGAACAATCAATCTTCAAATCGTGAAACATAATTGTTATCTTTTACTGTATTTTCAGGACTTTAACTGAATGGCATGGGATCGTTCTGAAACATATTGGATCAAATTGAAACTCCCGTGTGTCGAGATTCTGTACCGAGAATCCGAGATGAACTTTAGGCGTTGGTCTTTGGCGCTCAGCAAAGTCCGTGCAGCTCCCGTCTCTCACACAAGGCACTGAAATGTCATTCAAGTTTATCCATACAAGTGCTTTATGCATCCCACACGCAAGTCCCGCCCCCTCGCCACAATCGGCCAATCAGGAGTCCGCTGACCTGCCACTCACACGTGCACCAGTCCAGACCAGTCACACTTCAGCAGACTTCAACCAACTCAGAAAAGAGAAATCAGATGGAAGATCACTGGTTTGGAGATTTTATGAGTTTTAAATGTGTTTTTGTCTCTTTAGCCCCGTTTCCACCAGCCCTGCTTGGCCCTACTCTTCTCTAGAGCTGAAGGCCCAAACCCGCCAGGACTCGTCAGGACCCGCCGGGACTTGATGGGAACAGACAGGTTCGGGTATGTGCGTCAACTGAGCGTAATTGCGATTCTTTCCCATCGTCTTTTAAAATAGAACAAAGAACAAATGAATGTTTACTATTTTTGTATAAACAAGTATGAGACTCATGATACTTCCACAAAAGATTAATTAAAAACAATAAAAAAAGTTCAGGCAGAATCCTCTCAGGTCCGGGCTAAACTTTTTAGGCCCAATTACTCTACTCTACTCTACTCTACTCTACTACCAGGTCCTTCTTTAGTCCCTCTTGGTCCTGCTTCTATCCAGGCCAAGCTGGTACTAAAGTGTTCTAACTGACAGTGATTAGTCAGAGTGCTGCTGGAAGCCATGGTTACCAAGGAGTTTCCATGGATACTGGTTTGTTATTGGGTTCGTTGCTAGGATACAGTCCCAGATACTAAAGGGTACCGTAATGGAAACGCAACCAGGAAGAGTAGAGCAGAGTTGAGTAGAGCCGAGCCGAGTCGAGTCGAGGAGGGGTGGTGGGAACAGGGCTTAATTTTCAGACCATTAGTTCCTCTGACACATCTATAGATCAACTTTTTCAGACAGAAAAGAGGTGACCAATCAGCCCAAAAAGTCGAACAGTGACTCACAGGGCTCTTTCTTACACGAAAGTTGACATGTTTTCCACGAAGGTCACGGCAGTATGTTGTGGTCCGGTTCACAACACCTCAGCTTTAATGATTCTAATCAGCTTCAAGCGTTTTCCACTCACAATCATATGAAACAAATGATCTCCCATTAAATCACGAGGGCAGGAAATTTGGTCCGGTTCAGGTTCACAAGTCTCAAAAGCGTCCCCAAAAAGCATTCTCTCCCCACACACATGTATAAAAACACACACAACGGCGCGATAGTCCACGTGACGAGACGATACTTCCAGTTTTAATGTGGTGTGGAGGCTCCGTGGTCACAGCTAGCTTGTTCGTTGTCGGCGGTAGTTCGGTTGTGGCTTGTCCGCGTTGGCCTGTGTGCGTTGCAGTTGCGTGTCGGTCCTGGGGGGTGGTCAGTGGGGGTCGTCTCTGTTGAAGTGGTCCAGGACTGTGGCGTTAGTCCGCTCAAAGACCCAGTGCTGGCTCTGGGACTGGGGGTCACAGGTGTTCATGAAGACTCTCCTCTCTGTGGGACTGCTGTCGATGCAGCTGCTGCTGACCGGATGGAACAGGCTCAGGTCCTGGACACACAACACACAAACACACACACACACATACACACACAATTATTACAGGTGACCTGGTTCACACGAGACGATTTTAAAATTGTCGGCTGATTTTTTTCTCTATGTAAGACCCCACACACGGAGATAAAAAAAAATCACGATTTTGCGCACCACAAAATCGTGACCACCGCAAAAATCACGCAAACCACACACAAACCGATTTCCCCCCCGAGCATTCCCAGGTCAGACGGAAATCTCACAAAATCTCTCGAGATCAAGCGTGACAATCATGGCGGACGAAGAGGATGCAGTGGCGATAGTTTCCAGTTTGTTTTTAGCAGAGAAAAGACCGGCGCAGATGGACGATGGTAACGCCCTCATTGAAAAGGTTTTAAGTTTTGCACTTACATAAAAACAGTCACTTACTCTTACTCACACTCACACGGATTTGAACAACAACAGACCAATAACATTTCTGCTTATCCTGAATTTGGCTTTAGCTAGCAACTGCTAATGGACCAGGGCTGCTCCTGATTGGCTCTTAAGTTACTGGGCTGTTGCCATTTTGATTTTTGTTTTGGCTGATGGTGAGTCCAGTCCTTCTACAGTCTGGACGTTTTACAAGCCATGTGGACCTGGACGTGCTTGTAGACCTGGTTGTAGACCTGGACGCAGACTTAAAGCCTGTGTACACTCGCACGGCGCTGGTTACGGTTGCGGTTACGTTGGACCTACATAACCACAGTTGGTGGTACACTACCGCGTTCCCCTTAAGGCGCGTTCAGACCAAAAGCTTCAAAAAGCTTTTGACGCGCTTCAACAGACGCCGGGATAGTTTTGTCATTTTGGTGCTTGAAGCTTTTGACGCGAGTGACGCGCCTGACGCCGGTGGGAGGAGCTTGTCTGTTGTCTGTGGGAGGAGCTTCTCTGTTGCCTGTAGTCAGGACAGCGGTGGATTTTTCAATGAGCAGCGAGCCTTTATTTGTTATAAAAAGCAAAATAACGTTGTTGTAGGGCTTCAACAAAACATGTTCTGGATTCACCACAGACTTGAGAGGCTGCAGTGTTTGCCGAGTTCTGTCATTTACTCCAGGAGCTGCGTACGGAGGAGTTTCGCTTTCAGCGGTACTTCCACATGTCACTCGCCCAGTCTGAGTTCTCAAACCCCAGAGCTCGCCTCTCCCCGCCTCTCGCCCGCCTGGAGCTGCCTCGCTCCCGCTCTGAGCCAGACTCATTGTCAGCCTGTTCTTATATTAAATAAATTACGTTTACTACACATGTGTACAATGATTCAAGAACTTATTAAGAACGTTACTACTCAAACAAATAATATTACTAATAACAACTAGAAACTTGCAATGGCTGAAGCCATTGCGATTGACTGCGGAACAGATCTAATGTGGAAATCTGCTAAAAAAAATCCTTGAAATCCTTTAAAAGGCCTTGAAACTGTTAAAATACTTGATAGATATTTGAAACTCCTGAAGTCCTTGAAATTGTTGAAACCTTTAAACTCCTGAAATCCTTGAAACTGTTGAAACATTGAAACTCCTGAAATCCTTGAAACTTTTTTTAAACCTGGAAACTGTTGAAAGTGTGGAAACTCCTGAAATCCTTGAACCTCCTGATATCCTTGAAACTGGTTAAATTCTTAAACAGTTGAAATCCTTGAAACTACTGAATGTATTGAAAGTGTCCTTGAAACTGAAAAATCCCCTCACCGCTGAAACAATTTGGTTCCTGTAACTAAGGAAACCTGGTCTGTGGTCATTATCTGGTGGTGGTCTGAGTCTTCGTTTGGGTCTTGGTCTGGTGGTATAATGCAACCTATTAGGTTGCATTATACTGGTTTACATGGAAAAATCCCTATTAGGTTGCATTATACTGGTTTACATGGAAAAATCCCTATTAGGTTGCATTATACTGGTTTACATGGAAAAATCCCTATTAAGTTGCATTATACTGGTTTACATGGAAAAATCCCTATTAAGTTGCATTATACTGGTTTACATGGAAAAATCCCTATTAGGTTGCATTATACTGGTTTACATGGAAAAATCCCTATTAAGTTGCATTATACTGGTTTACATGGAAAAATCCCTATTAGGTTGCATTATACTGGTTTACATGTACAAATCCCTATTAAGTTGCTTTATACTGGTTTACATGTAAAAACCCCTATTAGGTTACATTATAGTGGTTTACATGTAAAAATCCTTATTAAGTTGCATTATACTGGTTTACATGTAAAAACCCCTATTAAGTTCCATTATACTGGTTTACATGTAAAAACCCCTATTAAGTTCCATTATACTGGTTTACATGTAAAAACCCTATTAAGTTGCATTATACTGGTTTACATGGAAAAATCCCTATTAAGTTGCATAATACTGGTTTACATGGAAAAATCCCCATTAAGTTGCATTATACTGGTTTACATGAAAAAAACCCTATTAAGTTGCATTATACTGGTTTACAAGGAAAAATCCCTATTAAGTTGCATTATACTGGTTTACATGGAAAAATCCCTATTAAGTTGCATAATACTGGTTTACATGGAAAAATCCCCATTAAGTTGCATTATACTGGTTTACATGTAAAAAACCCTATTAAGTTGCATTATACTGGTTTACATGGAAAAATCCCTATTAAGTTGCATTGTACTGGTTTACATGGAAAAAACCCTATTAAGTTGCATTATACTGGTTTACATGGAAAAAACCCTATTAAGTTGCATTATACTGGTTTACATGGAAAAAACCCTATTAAGTTGCATTATACTGGTTTACATGTAAAAACCCCTATTAAGTTGCATTATACTGGTTTACATGGAAAAATCCCCATTAAGTTGCATTATACTGGTTTACATGAAAAAAAACCCTATTAAGTTGCATTATACTGGTTTACATGAAAAAACCCTATTAAGTTGCATTATACTGGTTTACATGGAAAAATCCCTATTAAGTTGCATAATACTGGTTTACATGGAAAAATCCCCATTAAGTTGCATTATACTGGTTTACATGTAAAAAACCCTATTAAGTTGCATTATACTGGTTTACATGGAAAAATCCCTATTAAGTTGCATTGTACTGGTTTACATGGAAAAAACCCTATTAAGTTGCATTATACTGGTTTACATGGAAAAAACCCTATTAAGTTGCATTATACTGGTTTACATGAAAAAACCCTATTAAGTTGCATTATACTGGTTTACATGGAAAAATCCCCATTAAGTTGCATTATACTGGTTTACATGAAAAAAACCCTATTAAGTTGCATTATACTGGTTTACATGAAAAAACCCTATTAAGTTGCATTATACTGGTTTACATGGAAAAATCCCTATTAAGTTGCATTATACTGGTTTACATGGAAAAAACCCTATTAAGTTGCATTATACTGGTTTACATGGAAAAAACCCTATTAAGTTGCATTATACTGGTTTACATGAAAAAACCCCTATTAAGTTGCATTATACTGGTTTACATGGAAAAATCCCTATTAAGTTGCATTATACTGGTTTACATGTAAAAACCCTATTAAGTTGCATTATACTGGTTTACATGGAAAAATCCCTATTAAGTTGCATTATACTGGTTTACATGGAAAAATCCCTATTAGGTTGCATGATTACACTGAAGTCCTTGAAACTGCTGAAGTCCTTGAAACTGCTGAAGTCCTTGAAACTGCTGAAGTCCTTGAAACTGTTGAAGTCCTTGAAACTCTTGAAATCTTGAAACTGCTGAAATCCTTGAAACTGTTGAATCCTTGAAACTGTTGAATCCTTGAAACTGTTGAATCCTTGAAACTGTTGAATCATTGAAACTGTAGAAATGTCTGAAAGAGCTGAAGTCCTATTAAAATGCATGGGCCTATTAAAATGCATTGCAGAATTCTCAATGCAGATTTTTGTCCGATTGCGGAAAAACCGGAAATCGCTGAAGTCCCAAAAGTAATAGCAATAATCTCCCAAACATGTGGAACGTTTTGATGTATAACTTGTGGAAATTGTTGAAAATGTGAAAGCTGTGAAACGTGTCAAAAAAAATGACGGAATAAAGAAATACAAAACCAATGGTTGACTGCGGAAGGTTCCGCAGTCAATCAATAATGACAATAAAACAGCAGCAGTAGTAGTTACATGACTTCTCTTCATGACAGAGACAGACCCTCTGCTGCTGCTGCTGCTGCTCCTCGTCTCCCGATTGGTTCAAAAGCTCCGCTTTGCTCAACTTCGGCGTCAAGGGATTGTTTTGATGAGCGAGCGTTAAGCGTGTCAAAAGCTTCAAGTGAGCACGTATTACTCGTGACTTTTGAAGCTTTTGACGCACGGCAAGTGACGCCGGGGCTCTCGGCTTCACCTGACGCGCTTCACCATTCACTTTCAATGCAAACCTGACGCTTTTGATGCCGAAGTTAAGTCCGGTGTGAACGCACCTTTACGGAGTTTTGAAGAGAATGTTGTAATCCCACAACCAACCACGTGGTGGCGATCTCACAGGAGTTGCCAAAGTGACAAACAAAAAAAAAGTGACAAAAAAATTAAAAGCGAAGCTGTTTGAGATCATTACATGTGTTTCTACTGTAGGTTTATGTGATAGTTCTATGGACTCATTATTTCTTAACTCATTTAACTGTGAATAAAACACAGTTCTTTATTATTATTATTAACCTTTATTTAACCAGGAAAGTCCCATTGAGATTAAAAACCTCTTTTTCAAGGGAGTCCTGGCCAAGAGGCAGCAAAATATACAGTTTAAGAATTACATACACATTACATACTCATTATAAAAAACATTTACAAGAGGTTGACTCAAGTGCTCTCACTTTGGACTTAAATTCGTTCAATGGAATAAGATCAGTCATTTTCCAGTCTTTTTGCAACGTGTTCCATGTAGAAGGAGCAGAATGAACAAATGCCCTTTTTCCCAGTTCTGAACGGGCAAATGGAACAGTGAGCAACAAATGATCATTTGAACGCAAACTATAAGAGCCAACGCTCCTCCGTGAGATTAGGTTACAGATGTAAAAGGGCAGTAGACCAAGCATGGCTTTATAAATAAAAGTATACCAATGACTCTGCCTCCTGGAGGACAAAGAAGGCCATCCCACTCGAGAATACAGCTCACAATGATGGGTCAAGGCCCTACAGTTAGTAATGAACCTCAGAGAAGCATGATATACAGTGTCAATCTTGTGTAGACATTGAGCAGACGCGTTCATGTACAGCAGGTCTCCATAGTCTAAAATAGATACAAATGTTGCAGTGACAAGCTGCTTTTTTGCTTTAAAAGAAAAACAAAATTTATTTCGAAAGAAAAAGCCCAATTTGAGTTTAAGTTTTTTCACAAGATTGTCTATGTGGGGCTTGAAATTCAGGGAGTCATCAAGCAATATACCAAGGTATTTGTAAGTGTGAACCACCTCTATGACTTTTCCTTCAAAAGTGGACACTGAGGGGATCGTTTGAGAAACCTTCTTAGTATTTGAAAACAACATTAGTTTAGTCTTTTCAGCGTTGAGGACCAGTTTTAGCTGCAGAAGTGTGTGCTGGACCACATCAAAAGCTTTCTGCAGAGATTCTACAGCTTTAACAGGGTTAATTCCAAAACAGTAAATTATTGTGTCATCAGCGTAAAAATGCATATTAGCGTCAGACACATTTTGTCCCAATTCAGGGAGTTCTTGTTGGAAACATAGTTATTATTAAAGTGTATTCAGCACAAACAGCAAAACAATAAGTGGTAAATATCTGACACAAACATTCAAACAAAGACAGGAACAGTGCAAAACAAACGACTGCACAGTTTATAAGTTATATATATATGTTAGATATGCAACAGAACTCTAGTCCACAGTCTCCTGTATATCAGGCTCTGCCATGAGCCCAAACTACTTTTCCTTTGGTTCCTTCGAAGCTTGAAGCTCTCTGCTCCATAGTGCCTCATCCATTGTCCCTCCTAAGGGCCTTACGGTGATCCACGCCTTGCGCAAGTGACGTCACGTCACCTCCGTAAGCTCAGCGCCGCGCGACTATACACTAGGCTTTAGAAGCAGAGTAAATGGACTTGTAAGTGAATAAATGAATGTATATTTTCCCCTTGTTGAGACATTTGAAGAGGACTTGGAAGGGGACTTGGAAGGGGACTTGGAAGGGGACTTGGAAGGGGACTTGGAAGGGGACTTGGAAGGGGACTTGGAAGGGGACTTGGAAGGGGACTTGGAAGGGGACTTGGAAGGGGACTTGGTAGGGGACTTGGTAGGGGACTTGGTAGGGGACTTGGAAGGGGACTTGGAAGGGGACTTGGAAGGGGACTTGGAAGGGGACTTGGTAGGGGACTAAATGGGCTAGTAAGTGACTAAATTAATGTATATTTTCCCCTTGTTGAGACATTTGAGGACTTGGAAGTAAATAAATGAACGTTTAGTCCCCCTGGTTGAGACGCTCTGAGCCCACACCGTGTCCTTGGTGTGAGTCTGAGCTTAAGTCCTGGTGACATTTGGAGACTTTCCGCTCACTTTGCTGCTTTAAAGGGCGGTCGTGTTGAAGAGCGGACATCACCGGTGCCCTTTGGATCCTACATTCACAGCTCATGGAGCAGAGCCTGATTATGAAACAATAGAAGAAGAGTTCGGCCTTTATCTGTTCGCTCAAGCTGCAACACAAGAACTATGTGGGAGAGGAAATACACCTATGCAAATGTTCTTCTTGTGTTGAAATGGAACGTTTTGAAAGGGTTTTTCTCTGGCCTCTCTCTGGTCTCTCTCTCTGGCCTCTCTCTGGCCCCTCTCTGGTCTCTCTCTGGCCTCTCTCTGGCCCCTCTCTGGTCTCTCTCTGGCCTCTCTCTGGCCTCTCTCTGGCCTCTCTCTAACCTCTCTCTAACCTCTCTCTAACCTCTCTCTGGCCCCTCTCTGGTCTCTCTCTGGTCTCTCTCTGGTCTCTCACTGGTCTCTCTCTGGTCTCTCTCTGGTCTCTCTCTGGTCTCTCTCTGGTCTCTCTCTGGTCTCTCTCTGGTCTCTCTCTGGTCTCTCTCTGGTCTCTCTCTGGTCTCTCTCTGGTCTCTCTCTGGTCTCTCTCTGGTCTCTCTCTGGTCTCTCTTTGGTCTCTCTCTGGTCTCTCTCTGGTCTCTCTCTGGTCTCTCTCTGGCCTCTCTCTGGCCTCTCTCTAACCTCTCTCTGGCCTCTCTCTAACCTCTCTCTAACCTCTCTCTAACCTCTCTCTAACCTCTCTCTAACCTCTCTCTGGCCCCTCTCTGGCCCCTCTCTGGTCTCTCTCTGGTCTCTCTCTGGTCTCTCTCTGGTCTCTCACTGGTCTCTCTCTGGTCTCTCTCTGGTCTCTCTCTGGTCTCTCTCTGGCCTCTCTCTGGTCTCTCTCTGGTCTCTCTCTGGTCTCTCTCTGGTCTCTCTCTGGTCTCTCTCTGGTCTCTCTCTGGTCTCTCTCTGGTCTCTCTCTGGTCTCTCTCTGGTCTCTCTGGTCTCTCTGGTCTCTCTCTCTGGCCTCTCTCTGGCCTCTCTCTGGCCTCTCTCTGGCCTCTCTCTGGTCTCTCTCTGGTCCCTCTCTGGTCTCTCTCTGGTCCCTCTCTGGTCCCTCTCTGGTCTCTCTCTGGTCTCTCTCTGGCCTCTCTCTGGCCTCTCTCTGGCCTCTCTCTGGCCTCTCTCAAGATCCATCAGCAGTTACAGAACTGTAGGAATGAGGAGCACACAGCACAAGAGATGTGAACAATAACAATATACTAAAACTAAATAAAAGCTCTAACTTTTAATAAAAAACAAGTATAAAAGGCTGTAGAGTAGTATTGTATAGTGCAGGTATATATAGTCAGACACATGTGGTTCTATATTACATATTATAATTATTTCAGAGATGCACGACATGTGAGATCAGCTGTGTTTGTTATAAGACTTATTGAATCTGGAAGTGGTGTGTTATTGTTTTTCAGTAAACCATCACAGCCTTTTTAGGACCAGTTCCTGCTCCCAGCACCAGCAGCTGTTCTGACAGAGAGCCTTTTAGATATGCTGCTCAGAGACATTTGCCTCCTCTGATTCTGTTCAATCTGGAAGAACTTGAAAATCAATCGTGGTACAGGTGCAATCGCTGCTGCCTTGTCTTAATTTGATAATATTAATTCAATAAACTGTATACAATTTAAAACAGTTGTCATTATTAATGATGGTTTTCATTTGTTATTCTCTCACTTCCGCCTCCGTCGAGCAAAGACGTGTCTCAGACGCTCCTGCTTCTGACTGCTTGCTATCTCCTGTTTTTGTCTGGAGTTTGCCACAGACAACTTTAACAAGAATGGAAATGATTAACTGGTCCCTCAACGCAATTGATTCTATCTTTTCAACACGTAAGCGTGGGTCTAGAGAGCCCGTGTGTCCGGACGGGACCTCACCAGCGGGGTATACTCTTGACAGCTGGAACAAGTTTCAGCCCCTCTGTCTGTCGACCCTGTCCATTGAAGATTCGGAAGACGTATATATTTTTGGCTTTTTGGTGGTGGGAATCCTCCTGTTTGGCTTTGGAGCTGTTCTCTTCTACCACAAATTCGGAGGCATGGCAGTTCGCAAGATTCACGACCTGCTGGCCGACAAAATTGATGGGATGTACAAGGAGCTTAGCCGCGTCGTGGTTGAGAGTGCCGTGTCTGGACAAAGGAGAGTGGTTTTGGTGGAACAGTTGGTTAAAGACCTCGCAGCTCGTTCACTCGATGGACATAAGACTCTGGAGTTGAGATTGAATGACATTGTTTGTCAGGCTTGAACTCTCTGACCCGGCTTGGATCTGCCCCTGTGTACGGGGTCTGAGGGCGCCGCAATTCGGTTTAATTGGATTTAATAGAATATCTGCCTGTTTTTGACTGCTACATTGCATTGAATATTGTCCCCCTGAGGCGATGTGTTTCTCCTGCTGTGTCTTCTCTCCACTCTTATCTCACATTCCTCGGGCCAAGGCCATAATAACAAGGTCCCCATCTACAACAATCTCACACTTCAGTCTCCAGCTCGGATCCCGTCTCCCCCGCCTCCCTCTCTATCCATCTTGCTCCCTCCCTCCCCTCCCCTCCTCACTGTGTTTCCGACTCACCCCCCTCCCTGACCCCGCCCCCCTCTGACAGCCACATTGGGCGGCTGTAGGAGGTGCTTCATCCCGAGAAAAAATCCGTGCTTTATACAAGGCACAATGTGTCTATCCAACTGTCTGTGATACTGTGTGTTATTGCTCTCTGCTGTTTATTCTACTGTTTGTCGCATGGCGCCGTAAAGATGGCGCCGTGGCAAGAGCTCTGGTGTGTGTCGTCTCCTCTGTCTGGTGTACACCGGGGTAGTCTTGCACATTTTTTCCAATGTGGTTTTACTGCAAATGGCAAATAAATGAATCTGAATCTGAATCTGATTGTATATTTTTAATTAGGCAAAAAATGTTCATCGATCGGTGTATTCGATAGAATAATCGATTACCAAAATATTTGATAGCTGCAACTCTAGCCTGTATCATTATTAAAATTGTCCTTTTTTGCCTTTCTTTCCTCTCTCTCGGAATTTTCAAGTAACAAAAACACACAAGCCAAAACATAAGGCTCAAACCAAAGGGAGGTCACTCAGAAGGACAAATAAGACGCAGAGCACAACTCTGCCTCTGAGCACTTCCCTACTAGGCTTCACTGAGCTAGCGGGTTAGCATTGCCCTGTGTACAGTACCTTCCTGTATCTCCAGAGCTGGTTGCCCTTCATGCCGTGGCAGTCGTACAGCGTCACTGGGCTGTTGTGGGACACGGCGTCGAAGCAGACTTTCTTGGTGTGAAGAGGGTCTCCAGCGCGGATGTCCTCCCTCCAGCCGAACGTGAAGACCTGAAACAAAGATGGAAACATTAGAACGAACGAGAAAGGCACCCGGACACAGACCAGAGTCAAATTTAACCTCTTACAACAGGAAACACTATTCTCAAATATGGTCAGCTTTAAAACTAGGGCGCTCTGGTCTCTCCCTCTCTGGTCTCTCTCTCTCTGGTCTCTCCCTCTCTGGTCTTTCCCTCTCTGGTCTCTCCCTCTCTGGTTTCTCCCTCTCTGGTTTCTCCCTCTCTGGTTTCTCCCTCTCTGGTTTCTCCCTCTCTGGTTTCTCCCTCTCTGGTCGCCCCTCTCTGGTCGCCCCTCTCTGGTCTCCCCTCTCTGGTCTCCCCTCTCTGGTCTCCCCTCTCTGGTCTCCCCTCTCTGGTCTCTTTCTCTGGTCTCTTTCTCTGGTCTCTTTCTCTGGTCTCTTTCTCTGGTCTCTCCCTCTCTGGTCTCTCCCTCTCTGGTCTCTCCCTCTCTGGTCTCTCTCTCTCTGGTCTGTCCCTCTCTGGTCTGTCCCTCTCTGGTCTGTCCCTCTCTGGTCTGTCCCTCTCTGGTCTGTCCCTCTCTGGTCTGTCCCTCTCTGGTCTGTCCCTCTCTGGTCTCTCCCTCTCTGGTCTCTCCCTCTCTGGTCTCTCCCTCTCTGGTCTCTCCTCTCTCTGGTCTCTCCCTCTCTGGTCTCTCCCTCTCTGGTCTCTCCCTCGCTGGTCTCTCCCTCGCGGTCTCTCCCTCGCTGGTCTCTCCCTCGCTGGTCTCTCCCTCGCTGGTCTCTCCCTCGCTGGTCTCTCCCTCGCTGGTCTCTCCCTCGCTGGTCTCTCCCTCGCTGGTTTCTCCCTCTCTGGTTTCTCCCTCTCTGGTCGCCCCTCTCTGGTCTCCCCTCTCTGGTCTCTTTCTCTGGTCTCTTTCTCTGGTCTCTTTCTCTGGTCTCTTTCTCTGGTCTCTTTCTCTGGTCTCTTTCTCTGGTCTCTTTCTCTGGTCTCTTTCTCTGGTCTCTCCCTCTCTGGTCTCTCCCTCTCTGGTCTCTCCCTCTCTGGTCTCTCCCTCTCTGGTCTCTCCCTCTCTGGTCTCTCCCTCGCTGGTCTCTCCCTCGCTGGTTTCTCCCTCTCTGGTTTCTCCCTCTCTGGTCGCCCCTCTCTGGTCTCCCCTCTCTGGTCTCCCCTCTCTGGTCTCTTTCTCTGGTCTCTTTCTCTGGTCTCTCCCTCTCTGGTCTCTCCCTCTCTGGTCGCCCCTCTCTGGTCTCCCCTCTCTGGTCTCTTTCTCTGGTCTCCCTCTCTGGTCTCTCCCTCTCTGGTCTCTCCCTCTCTGGTCTCTCCCTCTCTGGTCTCTCCCTCTCTGGTCTCTCCCTCTCTGGTCTCTCCCTCTCTGGTCTCTCCCTCTCTGGTGTCTCCCTCTCTGGTCTCTCCCTCTCTGGTCTCTTTAAAAGCAGGCAGTGTAGTGACCTGTCCGTGTCCCCAGCCGGTCTCAGCTCGGCCCCTCACACAGGTGTCCAGCCGGATCGGACTCCCCGAGACCAGGTGTTTGGTCTCCAGACACAGACCACTGGCCACGTTTCGGATCTGCAAAAGAACCAGCAGATAAACATGTTGCCAATACAGGAGAGTCTAAGGATAGTGACTATGCAGGGCATTTAAAGTAGCAATATGTAAGATTTTCATGTCTAGTCCTCATTAAAGGGCCCTAATCTGTCATCATCAAAGGGCCCTAATCTGTCCTCATTAAAGGGCCCTAATCTGTCATCATCAAAGGGCCCTAATCTGTCCTCATTAAAGGGCCCTAATCTGTCATCATCAAAGGGCCCTAATCTGTCATCATCAAAGGGCCCTAATCTGTCCTCATTAAAGGGCCCTAATCTGTCCTCATTAAAGGGCCCTAATCTGTCCTCATTAAAGGGCCCTAATCTGTCATCATTAAAGGCCCTAATCTGTCATCATCAAAGGGCCTTAATCTGTCATCATTAAAGGGCCTTAATCTGTCATCATTAAAGGCCCTAATCTGTCATCATCAAAGGGCCTTAATCTGTCATCATTAAAGGGCCCTAATCTGTCAAAGGCATTAATAAAACCTGCTCTTTTCCAAACACAGTATTTCAGAGATATTTGGATTTCAAAATTACTTTTCCAGCCCCTAAATCTTGTTATTGTTTTCATTTTGATGTCCCGCCCTCCACCGTTTCACCAATCAGAAAGTTTGGTGAAACTGGAGCTAATCTCACTGGTAAAGTACCATGTGACGCAGAACTTAAAAGGTCTCGTTATGATTCTCAAATCATTAACGACAAAACAAGGAATAAAACCAGGATTTCTATCTTTGTGAAAAAGGTGTTGGTTATAGATTAGTTGTTGACTAAACTCTTGTCTATTCAGCTGTTATGGTCCCAGCTGGATTCGTCTGCATATCTGGCAACCTGAGTCAGGGAGAGTGGGAGAGGCTGCAGTACCACTTTTTTACACATTGCTCCTTTAAGGACATTTATTAACTTTTCTGGACTGTGGTCTTCTTGCGTTTATGTGTTTGTTATTATTTTAACGATTTGATTCTCTGATTTGTTGTTGGCGAATCCACAACCATTTAAAGTCCTTTGCGACGACTGCTGTTGTGATTTAGGGCGATACACAAATACAATTAGGTTTTATTGTTGAAGCAAAAGCAGGAAACAAGATGCTCTTAAATTATAAAAAATGTGCTTTATGTCTGATTGATGTTATTTACGAGTACAGTTCCAAAGACACAAGACGCCTTTGAAAAGCTTTGAAATCTCAGACGTAGACTGGGACCAGGCTGGTAAGACCGGTCTGAGTGTGGTTTTGTAGCGCTGTAGAGTGGAGCTGTACCTCTCCCCAGGCGGCTGCAGGGGGCTCCACTGGGGGGTAGTGCTTGGGCAGGTCCCAGGCCACCTCCTTCATGAACCATCTGAAGTTTTTACAGTTGAGCTTGGCTCGGAGCTCCTTCTGCCCCGTCATGTCTCCGGCTGAGAGGTGTCTGTACTCCGGCCGCCGCTGGTAAATGTACTCTGCGTATTCATCCATCCAGACCTCGGCCACACGCTTCAGGTTCTGCAGCCACGCAAGCAACCACAGTCAAACACACACTTTATACACTACACACACTGCACACACATATATACACAAAAAGACTCCACACACACACACATATACACACGGTGGCTGTGTGAAGCCACATGTCAAATAAACATGTTTTACATTTTCAAATGACAAATAACAATACTTTTTGCCAAGAAGAATATGCAGCTTTACCATCAGCAACAATAGATAGACCAGAAGAGACCAGAGAGAGACCAGAGAGAGAGACCAGAGAGAGAGACCAGAGAGAGAGACCAGAGAGAGAGACCAGAGAGAGACCAGAGAGAGACCAGAGAGAGAGAGACCAGAGAGAGACCAGAGAGAGAGAGACCAGAGAGAGACCAGAGAGAGAGACCAGAGAGAGAGACCAGAGAGAGAGACCAGAGAGAGAGACCAGAGAGAGAGAGACCAGAGAGAGACCAGAGAGAGACCAGAGAGAGAGACCAGAGAGAGACCAGAGAGAGACCAGAGAGAGACCAGAGAGAGACTAGAGAGGGACCAGAGAGGGACCAGAGAGAGACCAGAGAGAGACCAGAGAGAGACCAGAAAGAGACCAGAGAGAGACCAGAGCTAGACCAGAGAGAGTCCAGAGAGAGACCAGAGAGAGACCAGAGAGAGAGACCAGAGAGAGAGACCAGAGAGAGAGACCAGAGAGAGACCAGAGAGAAACCAGAGAGAGACCAGAGAGAGAGACCAGAGAGAAACCAGAGAGAGACTAGAGAGGGACCAGAGAGAGACCAGAGAGAGACCAGAGATAGAGACCAGAGATAGAGACCAGAGAGAGACCAGAGACAGAGACCAGAGAGAGACCAGAGAGAGACCAGAGAGACCAGAGACACCAGAGATAGAGACCAAAGATAGAGACTAGAGAGAGACCAGAGAGAGACCAGAGAGAGACCAGAGAGAGACCAGAGAGAGACCAGAGAGAGACCAGAGAGAGACCAGAGAGAGACCAGAGAGAGAGACCAGAGAGAGACCAGAGACAGACCAGAGCTAGACCAGAGAGAGTCCAGAGAGAGACCAGAGAGAGACCAGAGACACCAGAGATAGAGACCAAAGATAGAGACTAGAGATAGACCAGAGATAGAGACCAGAGAGATAGACCAGAGATAGAGACCAGAGAGAGAGACCAGAGAGAGACCAGGGACAGACCAGAGATAGACCAGAAAGACCAGAGACAGAGACCAGAGAGAGACCAGAGACACCAGAGATAGAGACCAAAGATAGAGACGAGAGATAGACCAGAGATAGAGCAGCAGCAGCAGTAACAGCAGCAGTAACAGCAGCAGACACAGGGAGCTCTCTTTCGCCTGCAGCTATGCCCGCCTCAGAGCGCTAGCTTCAGACGCTCTCCGCTCCAGGGAATCTCATTTAATCTCCAAGAAATGTCTGAAAATGAGAGTCTGCAGCATTTCTAACTGCAGGATCATTGCAGCTCTGTCTGAGAGAGACCCACACTTTTCTGAGAACTCTTACATTAATATTCTTCATGCTCACTGAAGACATCAACAACTGATCTATGGAGACTTAAAGCTGGGGTACCTTACTTTATACTAGACACACAGCATTATTAGCAGGGGTCAGTATTGTGTTGATTGACTTTACCCGAGACAGTGCCTTATCACAGTGAATGAGTCTGGGGGAAGTCTCTCTCTGGTCTCTCTCTGGTCTCTCTCTGGTCTCTCTCGGGTCTCTCTCTGGTCTCTCTCGGGTCTCTCTCGGGTCTCTCTCGGGTCTCTCTCGGGTCTCTCTCGGGTCTCTCTCGGGTCTCTCTCGGGTCTCTCTCGGGTCTCTCTCGGGTCTCTCTCGGGTCTCTCTCGGGTCTCTCTCGGGTCTCTCTCGGGTCTCTCTCTGGTCTCTCTCTGGTCTCTCTCTGGTCTCTCTCTGGTCTCTCTCTGGTCTCTCTCTGGTCTCTCTCTGGTCTCTCTCTGGTCTCTCTCTGGTCTCTCTCTGGTCTCTCACTGGTCTCTCACTGGTCTCTCTCTGGCCTCTCTCTGGTCTCTCTCGGGTCTCTCTCGGGTCTCTCTCGGGTCTCTCTCTGGTCTCTCTCTGGTCTCTCTCTGGTCTCTCACTGGTCTCTCTCTGGCCTCTCTCTGGTCTCTCTCTGGCCTCTCTCTGGCCTCTCTCTCTCTGGTCTAATATTAAAGGAATAGTTCACCGTTTGTACATACTGACATATGTTCTTACCTTACCTTAGACTAGTTAATACGTACCTGTCTGGTCTTAGTCCGTGCGCTCTGTCATGCAAACGGAGCAAAAACGGGAGCACAAATGCAGCCTCCTCTGTATACTGTATAGTACCCAAAAGGTAGCTCCCGCTAGAAGCTACCAAACTCTTCCAAGTGTTCCCTATTAAATGTATATAGTTACGTGACGTGTTACACTGCAAAGTATAGTAACACAGAAATGTAACAGTCGATTTTCTCAGCGGATAAAACGGGTACTATATTGTGAGGCGTAGTAATCTGAGGAGCGCTACGTCCGCGCACTAACTTCTCTCCGGAGACTTCTCTCTCGCTCACTTCCGTCAATAGAAGCAGCGTGACTTGTAATACACACAGTAGCAGCGAGAGAGAAGTCTCCGGAGAGAAGTTAGTGCGCGGACGTAGCGCACCTCAGATTACTACGCCTCACAATATAGTACCCGTTTTATCCGCTGAGAAAATCGACTGTTACATTTCTGTGTTACTATACTTTGCAGTGTAACACGTCACGTAACTATATACATTTAATAGGGAACACTTGGAAGAGTTTGGTAGCTTCTAGCGGGAGCTACCTTTTGGGTCCTACACAGTGACCAGAGGAGGCTGCGGTTGTGCTCCCGTTTTTGCTCCGTTTGCATGACAGAGCGCACGGACTAAGACCAGACAGGTACGTATTAACTAGTCTAAGGTAAGGTAAGAACATATGTCAGTATGTACAAACGGTGAACTATTCCTTTAATACAAAGCTTTTTCAGTCTAATCTCTATCAAATACTGATCAGAGAAAACAGCAGGAAATGGATTTTTTACGACATTTAAGTTAAAACCGTCTTTTTTCCTCCGAGATGTGTGTTTGCAGCTGCAGAAATACTGTGTGTATGTGTGTGTGTGTGTGTGTGTGTGCGTGTATGTCTTCTGTGTGTGTGTGTGTGTGTGACTCACGCGGGCCAGGCTGACTCCTCCTGGGACCTTATATGGAACGTACTTCCTGTAGATGTGCCCGACTCTGGAGCAGGGAACGTCCTCCATGCGACCGCCACACATCCAGACCTGAGGAGACACCAGAGGTCAAAGGGTCCGCAAGAGAGAGAAACTGAGAAACAGACAGAGAGAGATAAACTGAGAGAGAGATAAAGACAGAGAGAAAAAACATGTATAGACATTGGTCTCTGCTCCGTATGAACCAATGGCTCTATGTGTTTTTCAACGTTGCATTTCCTGTGTCTGAACCGTTTGATTTTCTGATCTGGTGTTTGTGAATCGACCGCTCTGTAAACTCCTCCGACATAACCACTGCTGTGATTTAGGGCTTCACAAACATTAACCAAATTGAACTTAAACGCCGTCAATTTGACTGCTCTGGGCCGTCCTAGCGTTAACCCAACGTAACTTGTTTATGTCTGTAGTCGGGCCTTCGTCTGCAAACATCCCGCGTCCTCCGTCTCCAGAGAGCCGTGGAAAAACAGCCGCGGCTAAATTAGATCGACGAGTAGATTTTTATTAATGGCAGCGGCTGGAATCCCTGTACGGCCAATCAAAACACGCTTTTTATTCACTCAGAGCGAGATTCAATTATAAGCGCGGGCCGAGAGTGCGTGGTTAGCATGCGGCGCGCGTCCCGGCCACTTAAGGAGGCTCTATGGAATAATTCAAAGGGGGAAAAGGAAGCAGACAAGAGCCTAATCTAATAAGGTCTGGAGCAGTCAGCGGGGCGCAGGGAGCGGTGAAGCGGCGTACAGGCGCTTTACACGGCCCGCCGCACGCACTCAGGCAGCCGCCACGCCACGGAGAGGTACCCACCGTGAAAACACAAGGCACGGTTATTTGTGTGGCACAGTCTGTACACAAGGAAACACAAGGAACAGTCACAAAAGGCATTAAAATAATAATATAAATCATTCAACTGTTTTTAATCTGGATTTGAACACAGCCAGAGAAAAAGTCTGTCTCACATTTTCAGGAAGATTGTTTCATATTTTAGCAGCATAAATCTGAAACATGAAGAGGCTGCTCTTCATGTTTAGTCCTGACTCTGGGACCAGCAGGAGGTCAGTCCCTGTGCTCCTCAGAGTCCCAGCAGGAGGTCAGTCCCTGTGCGCCTCAGAGTCCCAGCAGGAGGCCAGTCCCTGTGCTCCTCAGAGTCCCAGCAGGAGGCCAGTCCCTGTGCTCCTCAGAGTCCCAGCAGGAGGCCAGTCCCTGTGCTCCTCAGAGTCCCAGCAGGAGGCCGGTCCCTGTGCTCCTCAGAGTTGGTTCCTACATCTCTAACATGTCACAGATGGACTTTGAGGCCATGGACAGAGCTGCTTTAAAGTCTATTCTCTGAACCACAGAGACCTGAGACCAGGACTAATGCGATGGTACTTCCTGGTTCTAGTCAGGACTAGCAGAGACCTATGAGCAGCTGTAACAGTCCAATACCGGAGACAAAAGCCGGATAAGAATCTCCAACTCTGCTTAAGACACTTTATTTTTCAATCTAGTTTTTTGGCTTCCCGAATCTTTTATATCTAAAAATTCCCAGAACTGATAAACTAAACATTTATTATATTTATGATCCTGGCAACGTTTTTTAGACGGTAAAAAGCTGCTGATGCGACTGATTTCATTGCAGTTTGAAAGCGTCGCACAAATCTGACAGTTTGATTAAAATGAGTCAGAAATATAACTTAATATAGTGATGTTAAAGCTGAGGTACCTATATTTCTAATCACAAATATGGAACTAGTATTAAAATCCTAGTTGTGGTTTGCTTCTGTTTCCACACGTATCTGTCTCTGTCACATCTCTAGATCAACTTTTTCAGACAAAAAAGTGAAGAATAGAGGACCCCCCTCACTCAGCCAATCAGCTCTCAGCCCAAAGAGTCAAATCGTGACTCACAGGGATCTTTCGTTTATAAGTCCATAAACCATCATTTTCTGATAATACGGAGAACGCGTGGTGTGGTGTGATTGTATTAATTTAAATACGTCTTTTTTCTGCATTGGTTCTGAAGAGGTTAGCTTTGCACCGCAACCAGTGGGGGAGGGTCCCGGCTCATAAGTGGCCAAAATGACGTGCGCTGACGTGCTGCAATACCACCTCGGGCCTGTGGGGGTGGACCCGGAAGAAGAATTAGCCAATGCTAACATATAGCTTTGCCAGACCTCTCAAAAACGTCTTTACAGGATGGTCCAAAAGTGGTTCTTGGCCCAAAGCTCCGTTCCACATGTGTGTAAATGCTGAGGGGGGTGTTTTGGACCAGTCTAGTTTAGTCGCTGAGAATTTTTAAAGTCACTCGTTCAAATGAATGGGGCTCGTGCAGCTGACGCATGTGCAGATGTGTTTTTTCACATTTTGAAACTGCCCACGGACCGCGGAAGTTGTGGCACATTAGTTAGAACGGCGGAGATAGGTGTGACTACGTCCGTTAATATTTAAAGTCCAGGACCACAACATGGACCGACGTGTTGCTAACATGGTTGCAAAGGCAAGCTGGAGTTTCCACAAAAATGAAGGCACCTGATTCGTCAATTCATAAACTGCTCATATCTGGAATAACAAAGACACTCACTGTATATAAAACCAGGATCACAGAGAGCACCACTTTTTAGCCCAAAATGGTGAGTGTGACACAGACGGCTACTGAGCAGGAGGAGTTTATTTTAGTTAAGAGGAGCCAGAGCTTTGTTCATGAGCACTTCCCTTAAGCTAGCGGGTTAGCGTTGTCCATCTGTATACAGTCTGGTGCTGATACTGGTTGTTTGGAATACGGAAATTTGACTTGTTTCTAAATTTGATGCTAGAGGAGGTTCTGATAGATATTTCCAGACGGAAGTATTTTGTGGTTAAGCCGCTACATTTACTAGTTAGATTCTCACATCACTAATATCTGTGGTGTGACACATACTGGAAATATACAATAATGAAAGATCAATGTTGTTGACCAGATGGAAACATGAACCTGGTCCTGTCTCACCTTGAAGGAGATCTCGTACTGCTCTCCTCCCCAGATCTCCAGACCCGTGTCGTATCCTCCCAGCTCCCAGAACCAGCTCCGGTCCACGGCAAAGAGGCCCCCAGCCATAACAGGGGACCTGGAACACACACACACACACAGGTCAATATATAGGTCCTCCCGCACCCTATATAGTCGCGTTTCCACTGCAGGAGTCTCTGGTAAAATGAGGGGGTGGGGCAGCTACAGGACCCGCCCTCTCATTCGGCCTCTCGTGTCTCCGCTGCAGAGTAGGACCCTCGGCCACGCCATGAGTTTTGATCGCTGCATAATCAATAATCATTTATTTTACGGTGGGAAACGTTCCGGTTGTTGTGGTCTCTGGGTTTTTTATAGTCCTGCTTCAGTTTTGTGTAACTTTTCACAGCTTGTTTTAGAGTGTGATGAATCCTCAGTGCTTTGAGGTTAAACTGATATGTCTAAATACAATATATCTTTTCATTTCGCCGCAATGCCTCAAACCCTCAATGCCTGCACCTCATCATCCGTTCATTTATCGTACATCTTGCTGTTGTTGTTTGCTGTTTCCAGTAGTGTCTGCTAGGCTAATGCTGCTAGGCTAATGCTACCAAGTTGCTGAATTTTTAAAATGCAGGTTGTTTTGGTGCTTTCTGCTGGCGTTAGAGCCTACGCTAGCTTTAGCCAATCAGCGCCGGGTTAACCCCAAGCCCCACCAGGAGCAGTTATAATAACTGGATAGGGTGTTACTAGCTTTGATCTGAAGAGCCCTTGTGCTCGGGGGATTCTCGCGGTACTGCAGACTAAACCAGACTAAATTCACGCGGGCTACCCAGAAATGTTCCCCATAGAACTCAATGTCATCCTGAACTTGTTTTATTCTTAAATCCCTCAGTTTTATTTAAATCCCCACTTTAGTGCCACAAACTCTGCTCATCTTGCTCCCGCTCCAACTTCCGCTCTGATGAGCAGCTCTGACTGGTCAGAGCGCGGCGGAGCCCCTCTGTGCACGTGCATGAGAACCACACACGCGTATTTGGCGTAAAGCATCATGGGAGCTCGTCCACTGCGCAGAACCGGACAATGCGATATAGCGAGTGATATGGCGAGTTCCGCTAATATGTCAGTGCCCGTGCCAGTACATGCAGCACTGAGCACAAACCATTCATTTGAATACGGCGCCATCTTGGATCGCCGGGGGTTGTGTTCAGGGTTCAGAGTATCTAGCATGGAGGAGGGACTCCATTGGGCCCCGTAACAGTTCCTGTAAAAGGCCCTGTGGGGAGGTTCCTGCAGTGGAGAAACGCACCAACTGTAAAATTACCCCAAAGTTCCTGTGGTGGAAATGCGACTTGAGTTTGTTATTATTGCATTTCCCTGTATCTCATTGATTCTCTGATCCGTTGTTGAGGAATCGACAACTTTGTAAAGTCCTCGGAGACGACAGCTGTTGTGACTTTTTACACACGTGTTTGTTACAGCTTCTTTCCACAAGCTGTAATCGGTTTGAACAAAGCACTTTAAAGGCGCGTTCAGACCAAAAGCTTCAAAAAGCTTTTGACGCGCTTCAACTGACGCCGGGTTATTTTTTGTCACTTTGGTACCTGAAGATTTTGAGATTAAGATCCAGATCCATTTATTTGCCATTTGCAGTAAAACCACATTGGAAAAACTGTGCAAGACTATCCCGGTTTGCAGCCTGACGCCGGTGGGAGGAGCTTCTCTGTTGTCTGTAGTCAGGACAGCGGTGGATTTTTCAATGAGCAGCGAGCCTTTATTTGTTATATAAAGCAAAATAACGTTGTTGTAGGGCTTCAACAAAACATGTTCTGGGTTCACCACAGACTTGAGAGGCTGCAGTGTTTGCCGAGTTCTGTCATTTACTCCAGGAGCTGCGTACGGAGGAGTTTCGCTTTCAGCGGTACTTCCGCATGTCACTCGCCCAGTCTGAGTTCTCAAACCCCGGAGCTCGCCTCTCCCCGCCTCTCCCCGCCTCGCTCTCGCCTCTCCCCGGCTCTCGCTCGCCTCTCCCCGGCTCTCGCTCGCCTCTCCCCGGCTCTCGCTCGCCTCTCCCCGGCTCTCGCTCGCCTCTCCCCGGCTCTCGCTCGCCTCTCCCCGGCTCTCGCTCGCCTCTCCCCGGCTCTCGCTCGCCTCTCCCCGGCTCTCGCTCGCCTCTCCCCGGCTCTCGCTCAACACTCTTCCCGCCTGGAGCTGCCTCGCTCTCGCTCTGAGCTGCCTTGCTCTGAGCTGCCTTGCTCTGAGCCAGACTCATCGTCAGCTTCTTCTTATATTAAATAAACTACGTTTACTACACAGCATGTGTACAATGGTTTTTGTTACTCAGAACGTTACTACTCAAACAAATAATATTACTAATAACAATAATGACAATAAAACAACAGCAGTAGATACATGACTTCTCTCCATGACAGAGACAGACCCTCTGCTGCTGCTGCTGCTGCTCCTGATTGGTTGAAGCCCGCGTCAAAGCTTCAAAAGCTCCGCTTTGCTCAGCTTCGGCGTCAGAGGGATTGTTGTGATGAGCGAGCGTTAAGCGTGTCAAAAGCTTCAAGAGTCGCTTTTGATGCCGAAGTTAAGTCCGGTCTGAACGCACCTTACCGATGTACTTGTCTGGTGCACTCTGGGGACTTTTGCACAAGTATTCCAAGGTGGTTTTACTGCAAATGCCAAACACAATGACTCTGGATTGGTGGTCACTCACTCGAAGGGCTCGCTGGGGTCGTCGTGCTGCAGCTCTGGGGGGATGGGGATGCGTTTGTAGTACATCTCCCAGTCGAAGGCCCCCCTCATGGCGTCTCCGGCCTGAGTCTCGTAGCCAAAGTGGTCGTGGTCGATGACGTCGATCATGGGACACACGATCGTCTTCCTGTTCGTGGCGATTCGATCTGGAAAAGCAAAAACCAACAACGACGTCAGAGGAAACCAAAAGACTTTTCTTATTTGAACCGTCCTGTTTCTATGGAAGATCGTTTCTGCCGTTTTAGACAAATGAAAAACCAAGTGGAAGATTAAAACTGAGAGTATATTCAAAACACTACAGCTGGAGTCCGGACCAGAACCAGGAAGTACCATCACATTGGTCTGGACTAGAACCAGGAAGTACCATCACATTGGTCTGGACTAGAACCAGGAAGTACCATCACATTAGTCCTGACTAGAACCAGGAAGTACCATCACATTAGTCCAGACTAGAACCAGGAAGTACCATCACATTAGTCCTGACTAGAACCAGGAAGTACCATCACATTAGTCCAGACTAGAACCAGTAAGTAGCATCACATTAGTCCTGACTAGAACCAGGAAGTACCATCACATTAGTCCTGGTCTCAGGTCTCTGCACCTGTGGCTCAGAGAATAGACTTTAGACCAGCTCAGTCTCTCCCTGACCTCAAAGTCCATCTGTGACATGTTAGAGAGGTACCGGCCTCCTGCTGGGACTCTGAGGAGCACAGGGACTGGCCTCCTGCTGGGACTCTGAGGAGCACAGGGACTGGCCTCCTGCTGGGGACTCTGAGGAGCACAGGGACTGGCCTCCTGCTGGGGACTCTGAGGAGCACAGGGACTGACCTCCTGCTGGGGACTCTGAGCAGCACAGGGACTCTTTCTGTTGAAAAATGGCCGCTGTGCCCTTAGGCAGTGACCTTGGTCTGTAAATATGCGCTATATAGATAAAGATTACTTACTTACGTCACCCACATATAAAATAATTAGGGATGTACCGAATCCAGGATTCGGTTTCGGATTTGGCCGAATATTGGCTTTTTTGACGGGGTTCGGGTTTCTGGCCGAACCTTAGAATTTTTCCCCACCGAACAGAACCCTGCGCTTAAACCATGCGCGTTGTGGCTGCTAATAGATCCATGTGTGGCTGCTAATAGATCCATGTGTGGCTGCTAATAGATCCATGTGTGGCTGCTAATAGATCCATGTGTGGCTGCTAATAGATCCATGTGTGGCTGCTAATAGATCCATGTGTGGCTGCTGGATTCATCCCGGAAACAGGATTTGTCCGGAAGTTCAGTTTGCGTATGTCAAATAGTGTAAATAAACATGTAAACAGTTTGTCTTGTTATATACAGATTATATTATTTAATTGTGCTCATATTTATCAAGGTTTATTACGAGAAATGCCAGGAAAAAAGCTCAGAGAAAAAAATACTTCTAGTAGCTGGCAGCTAGCACCCAGATGCGTTCAAAGGGACACGGAAATGTGGGAAAGACATAGACAGTTTACCATTTTATTCTGACTAATTATTTCAGAAATACAACACAGGGATCCACACAACAGGTGTATGATGATTAAACAAGTAAAGTGAATCTAATCAAGAATTAAACTGTCTGTGTTAGCCTCATTTCCTCGTGCCTTTGAACGCATCTGGGCGCTAGCTGTGCAGCTACTAAAAGTATTTTCTCTCGAATACAGTAGCTCAGGCTGTGTGCGTGAGGAAGTGAAAATGGAACTCGTGAGCAGAAAAAGTGTTGTTTGGCAGAACTTTCAGTCCAAAGAAGACATGTTCAATTTGCAACGCCGATTTGTCTCGTGGTGGTAAGGACCCTAAACAGTTCACAACATCACCGCGGTTAAAACATTTGCGTATGAAACATTAACGGACTGAGGATGGAGTAGGATTCGGTATTCGTTTCGGCCGAATCTTAACCAGTGGATTCGATATTCGGCCGAACCCCAAAAATCTGGATTTGGTACATCCCTAAAAATAATATCACAACGTCAAGCTTCTTTGAATGTCCCAAAAAGCTCTGTAAAAGACCCATGCATCATCATCATCATCATCATCATCATCATCATCATCATCGCACACTGGGGTAGTCTTGCACAGTTTTTCCAATGTGGTTTTACTGCAAATGGCAAATAAATGAATCTGAATCTGTTATTATTATTATTACATTTGATGAGAATTTATTTCAGAACTCCCACTGTTTTATTTCAATATTTGGACGTTTTCATTTTAAAGTGCTAATTCTAGTGTCGCTCTCGGACTTGTGTGGCAGGCCCTTCAGTCCTGGCCTCGGCACAGACTCGAGCACCTCTTCGGTCCGAGGAGGCTCCAGAGGCTCTTTCTGCCTCTCCAAACCCCGCCGCGTCATTCTGTTTCAGCCACGGACTCAAGCCGAGGCCAAGAGTACAGAGCTCTTTGTCTGAGTCTCTATTCTCTCCTTTCTCAATCCTGTCATTTATCTTGAGCCCTGTTTCCACCAGACTTATTCTGCTCCCCTCTCCTTCTCCTCTCCCAACCTCTCCTCCTCTTCTGCTCTCCTTTCTCTCCTCTCTTTTCCTCTTCCCTCCCCTCCTCTGCTCTTCTAGGCTAGTACCAGCTTGGCCTGGATCGAACCTGGCCCAAGCAGGGACTAAAAAAGTACCTGGTACCAGTTCAACAGGCCCCGTGGAAACTCTCTCAATCATGATAGAGTAGAGTAGAGTAGGGTCAAGTAGGGCTGGTGGAAACGGGGCTAGGCTGTATCCTGATGGAGAGGACTAACCCGCAAGCAGTAGGGAAGTGCTCATGGGTAAAGTTTGGCCCACAAATTAAAAGGTAACTCTTCTTCTTCGTTCTTTGTGATCCTGATCCTTATATTTTGATATTTTATTAGTAAATCAAACTCCAGCTTGCCTTAGCAACCATCATAGCAACACGTCAGAACAAATGCCCATATAAAGATATTGGTTCCAGCTTTTGTTCAAATCTGCTTCTTCTGCATATTGGGTGAACACAATGGCGACGTCACACTCAATCAGTCCACACACACACACACACACACACACACACACACACACACAGACACAAACACACACACACACAGAGAAACACACACACACACAGACAGACAGAAACACACACACACACACACAGACACTGACACACGCACACACACAAAGACACAAACACACTCACACACAAACAGAGAAACACAGACACACACACACACACACAGACAAACACAAACACACACAGACACTGACACACGCACACACACAAAGACACAAACACACTCACACACAAACATAGAGAAACACAGACACACACACACACAGAAACACACACACAGACAGACACAAACACACAAACACACACAGACACTGACACACGCACACACACAAAGACACAAACACACTCACACACAAACATAGAGAAACACAGACACACACACACACACACAGACACTGACACACGCACACACACAAAGACACAAACACACTCACACACAAACATAGAGAAACACAGACACACACACACAGAAACACACACACACATACAGACACTGACACACGCACACACACACATGCATACCAGCACACACTATAGACTGTATATAGATGGACAATGCTAATCCGCTAGCTCAATAAAGCACCATAGAGAAGTGCTCATGGACAAAGTTTTGCTTCAACTCGCTCTGACTTCTAGTGACTTGTGTAAACGTCAACTGCAGCTCAGTAACTGCCCATTTTTGAATAGAACCAAGCATTTCTCTATTAATCTACAAATACAGAGCTAAACCCCAGCAGGGGGATTGCATCTGTAATTATAATAATAATAATAATACATTTTAACTGTAATCAGTGCTTGTGTCATAGACCGGAAGATTCTGGAAACAAAAGTGTGATTGTGATTTGAATGTGGTCATTAACCCGGTGAGAGCTTCCACATCTGTCACTGTGCATTCTGGGTCTGGTGTGAGTGTGGTGGGGGGGAGACGAGAAAGTATCGCTCTCCTCAGCGGGAGGCGGGTCTTCGGATCAACGCTCACATCTCGGCAGCGACCGTCTTCCACAGGTCTCTGGTTGGAGACTTTTCAGTTTGTCGATGAACATGAATGGGACTCGCATAATGAAGCAGGAAGAGGACAGAAGCACAGCGGAGGTTGTGTGTGTGTCTGTGTGTGTGTGTTTCTCTCTCTGTGTGTGTGTGTTTCTCTCTGTGTGTGTGTGAGTGTGTTTGTGTCTTTGTGTGTGTGTGTGTGTGAAGGTGTATGTGAATGTGTGTGTGTGTTTGTGTGCATGCCTGTGTGCATGTGAGTGTGTGTGTTTATGGGTTTGTGTGTATGCATGTAGTATGTCTGTGCTCGTGTCTGTGCTTGTGTATGTATGTCTGTGTGTGTTTGTATGTACGTCTGTGCTTGTGTGTTTGGTGTATATTCATGTCTCTGTGTGTGTGTTTGTATATGTGTGTGTCCATGTGTGCAGTTCCCTCACCCAGCAGTGGGGGGAGCCAGTTGACGTTTGCCTCGCAGTGAGAGTCCAGGAAGGTGATGACTTGCCCCGAGGCGGCCGCGGCTCCCAGCAGACGTGTGCGGATCAGACCCTCTCTCTTCTTCGTCCTCAGGATCCGGACTTTAGGGAAACGCTGCATGTACTCCTCCAGCGCCCCCTTCAGGTGCTCTGCGGACACACACCACAGACACACACACATATGAAGACCTGGACCCTTATGGACCAATGGCTGTTTGATTCTCTGATCTGTGTTGGCGAATCGACAGTTTTGTAAAGTCCTCCGAGATAACTGCTGTTGAGATTTAGGGCGACACAAAGATAAATTCAAATTGCAAACTCATGGCTGCTAACATCCAACCACCATGATTCACCATCGCTTGATTCAGATCAGAAAAAAACCACAGTGGGATATTTGTGCTAAAGTCAAACCGGATGACGCTGCAGAAAAACACAGAAGCAAAAAGATGGCGCAGTTTGTACCCATCCATCCATCAATTTTTTTCCCCTTAATCCATTTCTGGGTCGGGGGGTGGCAGTCAGAGATGCCACCCAGTACACAGAGCACCAGCCCCTCACTGATCCTCCTGCAGGAGGTGAGTCCACAGGAGCCACAGGAGGACTTCAGACAAAGTGGGTTTAAGTGTCTTGCCCAAGGACATAACGACAGCAGTCATCAGTGGGAGTCGTGAAGTAGGTCTCGTGGTGGATTTGAACCCACAACCTTCAGGCTCTAAGGCCGAGGCTCTACCAACTGAGCTACTGTCGCTCTGTCAAACTGTCGGCGTTTGTACCACTCTTTAAAAATCACAAAAAAACAGCCAACCACCTTTTCTACACAAGGAAACACAGAGGGCAAACCAATATCTCTAACTGGTTGATCTCTACTCTAGGGTACGGTAGGGTAGAGTAGAGTAGGTTTGAGTAGAGTAGCGTAGGGTAGGGTAAAGTAGGAGTAGGAGGACAAGTAGAGTAGAGTAGAGTAGAGTTGGCTAAAGTAGAATAGAGTAGCGTAGAGTAGGGTAGAGAAGAGTAGAGTAGGGTAGGCTAAAGGTGAATGGGTAGAGAAGACTAGGGTAGAGTAGAGTAGGGTTGGCTAAAGTAGAGTAGAGTAGAGTAGAGTAGCATAGAGTAGAGTAGCGTAGGCAAGAGTAGAGTAGGGTAGAGTAGGGTGGAGTAGAGTGGAGGGTTGGTGATATAATCTAACATGAGAAGCTTTTAGACAGAAGGGGCGGAGCTACATGTTTTCTTCCAGAACTTCTTGTTGTTAGCTCGGATAACTCTAAAACATCAAATATGTAAATGTTTAATTTGTCTCTAGCTCCCGGCTCCAAAACAATTTGCTTCTATCACTAGTTTTCATGTGAGAGAAAAGATTAAGACCTGTGCCACCTGCTCTCATCAGATTTGTTTACACATTATCCACTCTTTCTGTTGGACAAACATATGATTTAATTCTCCAAAATAAAGACAGGAACCTGAGCTTTAAGGGACAATACAAACATACAAATAAAAAAATAAGCTTTGACTGTGTCTTTTGTCTGTTTTGTCCCCGAAACAGCAGCAGCAGCGGTGGAGAAAAGCGTTCCTCTAGGATCCAAACGTACAGTGTTTAATGTGGGACCATAAAGGAGACATCTGCTGGTTCCACATGGTCTGTCTGCTTTACGGGACGCTCTTAAACGCCCCGATCACCCCCTCCAGATACAGACACCATCGAGCAGAGCGAGAGAGACAGACATAAACCCGGCTTCTGGACCGAGCAGAGGAGGGAACAGATGCAGAAGGCTTTTACTTTCTCCATCGATGAGCTCAGAGTATAATGAGATTGTTAGCAGTGCGTACATTAGCATTAGCATTAGCCCACGGAAATAATCTGGGTTTGGTTTATTTAGTCACAAAATGGAGCCAAACTATAGGCGAGGCACTATTGGGGATCATGGAGCAGAAGGGTGAGCATTGTCCACCTACAGTGCCTTTGCGAAAGTATTCGGCCCCCTTGAACCTTTCAACATTTCGCCACATTTCAGGCTTCAAACATAAAGATATAAAAATTTAATTTTTTGTCATGAATCAACAACAAGTGGGACACAATCGTGAAGTGGAACGAAATGTATTGGATAATTTAAACTTTTTTAACAAATAAAAAACTGAAAAGTGGGGCGTGCAATATTATTCGGCCCCTTTACTTTCAGTGCAGCAAACTCACTCCAGAAGTTCAGTGAGGATCTTTGAATGATCCAATGTTGTCCTAAATGACTGATGATGATAAATAGAATGTACCTGTGTGTAATCAAGTCTCCGTATAAATGCACCTGCTCTTTGATAGTCTCAAGGTTCTGTTTAAAGCGCAGAGAGAACCATGAAGACAAAGGAACACACCAGGCAGGTCTGAGATACTGTTGTGGAGAAGTTTAAAGCCGGATTTGGATACAAAAAGATTTCCCAAACTTTAAACATCTCAAGGAGCACTGTGCAAGCAATTATATTGAAATGGAAGGAGTATCAGACCACTGCAAATCTACCAAGACCCGGCCGTCCCTCCAAACTTTCATCTCAAACAAGGAGAAGACTGATCAGAGATGCAGCCAAGAGGCCTATGATCACTCTGGATGAACTGCAGATAACTACAGCTGAGGTGGGAGAGTCTGTCCATAGGACAACAATCAGTCGTGCACTGCACAAATCTGGCCTTTATGGAAGAGTGGCAAGAAGAAAGCCATTTCTCAAAGATATCCATAAAAAGTCTCGTTTAAAGTTGCCACAAGCCACCTGGGAGCCACACCAAACATGTGGAAGAAGGTGCTCTGGTCAGATGAAACCAAAATCGAACTTTTTGGCCACAATGCAAAACGATATGTTTGGCGTAAAAGCAACACAGCTCATCACCCTGAACACACCATCCCCACTGTCAAACATGGTGGTGGCAGCATCATGCTTTGGGCCTGCTTTTCTTCAGCAGGGACAGGGAAGATGGTTAAAATTGATGGGAAGATGGATGGAGCCAAATACAGGACCATTCTGGAAGAAAACCTGTTGGAGTCTGCAAAAGACCTGAGACTGGGACGGAGATTTATCTTCCAACAGGACAATGATCCAAAACATAAAGCCAAATCTACAATGGAATGGTTCACAAATAGACGTATCCAGGTGTTAGAATGGCCAAGTCAAAGTCCAGACCTGAATCCAATCGAGAATCTGTGGAAAGAGCTGAAGACTGCTGTTCACAAACGCTCTCCATCCAACCTCACTGAGCTCGAGCTGTTTTGCAAGGAAGAATGGCAAGAATTCCAGTCTCTCGATGTGCAAAACTGATAGACATACCCCAAGCGACTTGCAGCTGCAATTGCAGCAAAAGGTGGCGCTACAAAGTATTAGTGCAAGGGGGCCGAATAATATTGCACGCCCCACTTTTCAGTTATTTATTTGTTAAAAAAGTTTAAATTATCCAATAAATTTCGTTCCACTTCACGATTGTGTCCCACTTGTTGTTGATTCTTGACAAAAATTTAAATTTTTATATCTTTATGTTTGAAGCCTGAAATGTGGCGAAATGTTGAAAGGTTGAAAGGTTCAAGGGGGCCGACTGTATGTACAGTCTATGGTCCACCTGTTGAGAACCACTGGTGTGGGGGAGATACAGTTCCAAATCCATATAAAACCTCATACATTTTTCCAAACTAATGAGAGGTTTTACGTCCCGGAGAGCGAGAGTTTCACACTGTGCTGGAGCGAGACTGATACATGTCTCATGGTAGCCATGGGCTAATTTGTATCCGTTGTTCCACATTCGCACTCAAACACACACTCATTTGCCCTGAACTATTGTACATGTTTTTAGTGGTAGGGCAAACCAGAGTACCCGGAGGACACCAACGCAGACATAGGGAGAACATGCAAACTCCACTCAGAAAAGCCCTGTTCCAACCGGGATTCAAACCCAGAACCTTATTGCTGAGAAGCGAGAATACTATCCACTCAGCCACAGTGCCGACCAACTATGGTCTCTCTGGTCTCTCTCTGGTCTCTCTCTGGTCTCTCTCTCTGGTGTCTCTCTCTGGTCTCTCTCTCTGGTCTCTCTCTCTGGTGTCTCTCTCTGGTCTCTCTCTCTGGTCTCTCTCTCTGGTCTCTCTCTCTGGTCTCTCTCTGGCCTCTCTCTCTGGCCTCTCTCCGGCCTCTCTCCGGCCTCTCTCTCTGGTCTCTCTCTCTGGCCTCTCTCTCTGGCCACTCTCTCTGGTGTCTCTCTCTGGTCTCTCTCTCTGGTCTCTCTCTCTGGTCTCTCTCTCTGGTCTCTCTCTGGCGTCTCTCTCTGGTCTCTCTCTCTGGTCTCTCTCTGGCGTCTCTCTCTGGTCTCTCTCTCTGGTCTCTCTCTGGTTTCTCTCTGGTCTCTCTCTCTGGTCTCTCTCTCTGGCCTCTCTCTCTGGCCACTCTCTCTGGTGTCTCTCTCTGGTCTCTCTCTCTGGTCTCTCTCTCTGGTCTCTCTCTCTGGTCTTCTCTCTGGTCTCTCTCTCTGGTCTCTCTCTCTGGTCTCTCTCTGGCGTCTCTCTCTGGTCTCTCTCTCTGGTCTCTCTCTGGTTTCTCTCTGGTCTCTCTCTCTGGTCTCTCTCTCTGGTCTCTCTCTGGCGTCTCTCTCTGGTCTCTCTCTCTGGTCTCTCTCTGGTTTCTCTCTGGTCTCTCTCTCTGGTCTCTCTCTGGTCTCTCTCTCTGGTCTCTCTCTGGCCTCTCTCTGGCCTCTCTCCGGCCTCTCTCTGCTCTCTCTCCTCTCTCTCTCCACTCCCCTCTCCGCTTTCTCGCCGTTCTCTGGATGTGAGAGATTAGAGAATGAGAGAGCTCGCTGGTCCCGCTGCAGCTGCTGGGGGTTAACCGGGTGCGAGCCTTCTCCCTGTCCCGGATCCACTCTCTAATAAAGACTAATGTGTTTGCCTACGTCTTCGCCTCTCATTACTCTGATTCATGAGCCGAACCCAAGACGAGCGCTCTCATTTAGCCGCCGCGCACTAAATGCCGGTAATGATGCGCCGTGACCCGCCTGCCGTGTGCGAGCGCGGCGCGGGAAGTGTGCGGTGCGCTCGCCGTCGCCCCGAGAACGGCTGATTAATGGTCCTGTTATTGAGAGGGAAATATGTCCCCTGGGCCCTCGGTGACAAGGACCTCATGTCGCAGACTGAATG